TCAGAACGGGTATCTTTTGACTAAAAAGGAAAACCGATGGACTGATGACATAACGTTATTTGAGTCGGGTTTACGGTGATCCAAGTCAAATACTTGTCATACACTATCCAAACCAGTTATCATTCGGTGTTTTTAGTTGCTTTTAGCAAGACATCTGTATGGCTTAGTAATAACCTATTACTTAAGTGAAAACAAATAATCAAACTTGATAATGATTACTGTAAGGTATGAAATTGATAAAATGTTAATTAAATTACTTATCAATTTTAAGTTTTGGAGATTGTTAAATTTTATTGAAATCACAGACCAATCTAACTTAGACGACAACTGCGACCTAAAGGAACTAAATAGCCGTTTCGTCCTATAATAGGACATTCCAGCAATCTGTATTCACATTAGAAACAGTTGAATTCGACTGATCACTGTTTCTCATAAGAACTCTGAGAATTTCATCTGAAAGCTAAATACTAGTGACTACATTATCCTTATCCATACTGAGCTAGGGATGCTGACTCAATGGTTTATAAGTTAAGCGTCCCCATATGAGACCAGAGGTTCTGGGCTTGATTCTTAATCACGTGGTCATGGGTGCGCACTATCGAGGTTACTATTGGCTTGTTATTATTACTATTACTATTAGCTTCATTCAATATTGTATTTTTGGTGCAATGTACGATTGACAGCACAAAGTATTTCAACAAGTTTCCGTTTCTTACTTCTTGGTCGATACTGACGATAAATATTGAGTGATCTCCAGCTAGAAGTTAAAAGTCCAGCAAATCGACAACGAAATAATGTATATTCTTTTCGCTGAATATTACTAGCAACCACGATATCTCTGATTGGGTCTTTCGTAGCTTGTAGAACGAAAAGTTGAACACTTTTCACCTGAATAGGTTAAACGATTAACAGACATGATTATGTATTAAAACAAACAAAAATAGATAACTTGTTGAAAAATCTAAATGTCAGGGACAGGTAGCCCAGATGTTCAAGCAGACCGCCAAATTGTTCGTTTGTTGTTTGATTATCTTTATACTATTCATCATTACAATACTGGTTAATCATTTTGTTCTCTTTAAAAAAATTATTTACACTGACAAACCCCTCGAATTAGGTGAATCTTTCCATCTAAACAAGAATAATTTAGAGACAAGTTTAAATTGTATTACAATAGATACAAGTGAGTTATTATTCTACATGTAAGCAGTTGGTTCATACATTCAAAATGGTTATTACATAGTTTTTTTTTCTTTTTGTAATACAATAACTAGAAAATATGTTTTCTCATTGTTACGTCCTTGGTCTGTCTACCCACTTTGGTGCTGTGGATAACTTATCTAATCTAAATGAAGACTTTGACGCGATAGGCTGGCCGGCTTGAACTTGAGACTAGTATGCGTGAGTTCGAAGTGGGGTAGATAGAAAAAAACTATTCTATCACTTGATTGGCTGACAAGCACGGAAATGAGAGAAGACAAGTTGACTGGAACACTACTCGATCTATTTCCAATTCGGATCTGGTTCCCGACTTCAGATTAGTGTAAAACGACACATGAATACATAGATGACTAGCCCGACCACAACGTACAATAATTAGGAAAATACAACTATGAGCCAATTGAAACTAGACCACCATGGAAAACCCCTTCTGAAAATACAATTATGTCCATAACTGGGGCTTCCAGTAGAAAATAGAATACAAAATAATATGTTTAAATTACAATAGATTTGGAACAAAAAGTACTATGGCAGTGAATCATACACCAAACGAAAGCTTATGTTTTGTAGAATAGACTAGAGACAAAAAATAAATGCTAATGTCTTATAAACTTTGAATTAACTGAAATAACGTCCTTAAAAATAGCTTCCGCAGTTTTTCAAAGCTTCTTGTTTCTCTGTTCACATCAATCATGATATAGAAAAAGACAAACTTTAGAATTTAAAAAAAATCTGTTTCATGTACTTATTTAATACCACAATTGATTGATCACTGGGTGGTGATCAATGTCATGTGTGTCAAGTCCTTATTTAGTGCAGATCGAATGCTGTCGACCATGTTGCAATGTGGCCACCAGTCTAGGTGACTCGACACTGCGGGCAATATATATTGAGATCAGATGGTGGTTGAAAGTAGTCGACAGGGTTTTCTGTCGACTACCTCCAATCACCATCTAATCTCAACTTATTTAATATGGAAATGTTTAGGTTTGAGACTATAATATTGAATTTAATGATAATTTATACTACTGAAAATACAACTACTAATATTGTTATTATTATTTATTAAGTAGTAAATATAAAGCAACAAAAATTAAATTGCTTTGTTTTATGATTAACTTCTTTTAATTTAAAAGACTACTGATAAAACTAGTTATTCATCTTTGATAGTAATTTAATTTACATTTATGAAAACATTTTTTTTGTAAATTTTTTTAACCAAATTGTATCTATGTAACCTGCATTCTTATAGCCTGTGTAATCTATATTAGACTGATACTAACTATTATTATTATGGAAACAGTTGATACCATGTTAACAAAACAAATGTATATAAAGCTTATACAAAACTCAGTGGTTGGTATTAGTAATAATAATGTTTAGAGAAAATTTATTATTGAACAAAACTAATGAATACTGTTGAATACAATGAGATACCCATAGAGATTATATATAGAATAATTTCTATGGTAGAAAATATCAATTATTTACTATGATATGAAACATGATGAAGTAAAATTGGGATTGAAAGGAATAATAAAATTGTTTGTTTGTTTTTATTTAAGTGATATAATGTTAATTTAGTTAGTATATTCTATATGAGACTGACTAGTAATGGCATTCATGATATATACTTTGTCTTATTTGGAACTCATTAGTTAGACGTATCTTTTGCATCCTAATGTTGAGATGTTATACTGAAACTTGGATCTAACACATTTGTTCAATATATTCATCACTGAATTAACTAGTTCAAGTAGTTACTTAATTGTTCAACGGATAGGAAGCTTTTTGTAAGAGCTTATGACGTCCATTGTTGATATTTAGGACTGAACATTATCATCTTCAGTTACTAACTGTCCAGGATTCATACATCTCAATAGAAATATATCACTGTCAGTCCTAAACGAGAGTTACTAACCCTTACTAATTCATTCTGTGAATGAAAATCAAAATGCTATATGATGACAAAACAATTTTACCAGAACGCACTGATTTGTTGAACAAAAACAAAAACACAAAATGTTTGGCAAATGTAACAAGTCTCGAGACGGTCGTCCAATGTTTCCAGGTTTTCAGTGATAGTCTAGCTTGGATCAACCCATAAACTCAACTTTGAAGATATCGAAAAAAAAACGAAAAACATCAAAGTCATAATAATAATCATGAAAAGTTGTTAAATCACTTTATGATGTAATATTTTCTATCCTTCTATAGAACGAAATATTTACCATACAACTAAAAGTACGAATATAAAGTTTAAGTAAGGGATTCCATCGAACTGAAAAATTTCTTTTCTGAATTCCTGTTATTTTTATTCATTGGCACAAATAGGATATTTTAACTTGTTTTGATTTTAGAACAAACAGATAGCTCATGGTGAAGTTTAACAAAATAATTACAAACTAATAATAATTATCAGAAAAGGAGGTATTGTGGAGATTGTAGTAATTTAATTGTTGAATTCATGAGTCGATGTAAGCTAGACCATCATGGAAAACCTGGAAGTACTGGACAGCCATTTCGTCCTAATATAGGACTCCTCATTAGTGCGCATCCACGATCACACATGTGCGGTTCGAACCCAGGAAGTTTGGTCTCACTGCTCACTACCGACTAGCTTCAACAGGTATTTTCTGAAGTTCTAGTGAGAAGCATTGACCAGTGAAGTTCAACCGGGTTTGTTGTGAGATAGCAACTCACTGAAGATAATAGTTGACAGTGGCTTAATTTCGTGGATTGATTGAAGTTAGACATTAAGACTTTTGGATGCCGACTCAGTAGTCTAGTGGTTAAGCGCTTGCACATGAAACTGATAAGTCCTGGGTTCGAATTTCACAGGAGGGCGGGATAGTGGATGCACACTAATGAGGAGTCCCACACTAAGACGAAACGGCCGTCCAGTGCTCCCAGGTTTTCCATGATGGTCCAGGTTACATCGACTAATGAATTGAACTGTTAAATTATGATAATTAATCTGTACGTTAAGGACTAAAAAATCTGATTAGTTCTAGAATTGATTTCAATATTTTATCTCATATAGTTTGGATGTTTTTTACTAGTCTTCATTAAATATTACCAGATTTTCATCTAAATGACTTTTACTCTTTAAAATATTCTACAAAGTTTGAAATTATACTACTTAAATTAGACAACTTAAAGTAATTAGTCCTTTAGATAGTGTACCAAGAAGAAGTTCTGATAATCTTCGCCTTTTTATTACTCTTATAACTTGTGACCGCCTATTAGAGAGCAGCGACTTTTCGATAAAAACCAAAGACACGTAAAACACGTGCGAGCAGCCTAGAGTCCTGATTGCTCCTGCTTTCCGCCTAGCCCAGCCAGTTAAGTCCAGAACACCACTCTCAGCCTCTGCAATATGAATCATGTAATTCAAACATACTCTGTTTATAAACCAATCAAACAGATCACAACGTATCAATAAAATATGAAACAACATTTGTACAAGAATTAGCTAAATGCGGCTGTGAATAAGGGAGGTAGCAATTAACATAATGGGTATAACTCACGAATGGTAAACGTATAATAATAGTTTATAGGTCACAATAGAGTTTATAATAAGAGTAATATGAATATGCATAGTTTAGTTATTTAACAATTATACGATAAAAATATACGTTTAGTATTGGTCCATAAATGGATCCCAAAGTTACCATCCATTATGTTTCTAGGGTCCTAACAATTCCATTATCTAGATTAGTCAAGTTAAATTCCATCAGTAATATAATGAAACTTTATGGTATATTTCTAATTTATAGATTCAACACTATCAGCTAATCTATCATCTTTAAATGTTAGTTATTTGTCTCAATTAATGAATTCATCTATTGAACAAAATAAGAACATGAATAATCATAAAGATTTTGATTATAAATATGAATATGAGTTACTACAAAATCCAGTACAATCCAATGAATTCAATAGTTTAGCATTTAATACTCCTACATCAAATATTTCTGAATTAAATATTTGGGAAAATAAAAATGGTGAGTTAACAATTAAAAGTTTTGGATTATTCTCTTTATTCATTGTATACATACATACATACATACATATTTAATAGGTTACCAATATATTGATAAGTGACTGATGTAAACTAGCTAGCGGTTGTAGGAGAAGTGGAGCATATTGTTCACACTCATGAACTAATGCGGATGCGTGACCGAGTGCCTTTAACTAAGTGAATCTATTAGAACTAATGTGGTCAGCATCAAAGGTTGTTATGTTAAAAAAAAAAACGTGTTTAAGCGATTAGAGACGAAAGTTTATAAGTTGTCTGCATATGGTTGATAACTCAAATAATGTGAACAGATAAACTATTTTAATGTTATAAGCAGTGAAATCCAGGACGGAAGTTTCGTCATATATGGGACTCTTCAGCTGGATGAACCTGAATTACAGAGTTGGTTTTCACTCTGAAACTTGGACCAAGTACCTTCCGCTTCAAACGCCAGTGTATTATCTACTTAAATACTAAGTCCAGATAGTCACTAGTTTGTACTTATAATGCTTGTGACTTAAAGTAATGTCGAGACAATTCACACAGGATGCACATATGACAATAAGATAACGATAATCAGAGACTGGTTTTGTGAATATTATGATAATTTAGTAGTTGAATTCATGAGTCAGTTGAAGCTAGACCAACATGGAAAACCTGGAAGCATTGGGCGGTCATTTGGTCCTAATATAGGACTCCTTAGCAGTGCGCATCCATGATCCCACTTCTCGCGAGATTCGAACCCAGGACCTATCAGTCTGGCGCGTGAGCGCTTAACCATTAGACAACTGAGCCTGCATCCAATGATTTTCATGTCTAACTTCAACCGAATTCCGCGACCGCCCACCATTGTCTTCAGTGAGCTGATATCTCACAGCAGATCTCGTTGGACTCCACTGGTCACTGCTCTTCACTAGAACTCCAGGAAATCCCTCTTAGAGACCGTCACTAGTGAGCATATGATCGTGGATGCACGTCGCTGAGAAGTCCCATACTAGTACAAACTGTGATCTAGTATTTTCAGGTTTTACATGATGGCCTAACTTCAATTGACTCATGAATTCAACTACTAAATAAGAAACTGATCATTCACAGTCTTAAATAGCAATTGAATAATTCAAACAACTCATGCAAAAAATGTATTTTGATTTTTGTTTTCTAATAAATAGATAGATGGAATCATTTATTCCATTGTAATATGATACCTTATAAGTCATCTATTTCATATAACCCTAATCCTTTAGAAAAGAATCAATTTGTTGAAGTTCAAACATCTTTCCCTATTATTAATACATCAAATTACATCATAGATTGTAATTGTTCATTTACTAAAGTGAATTTCTTCCAGTACTTTTTATCTATATTGAATCAATTTCAATATTTCAATATGAGATATAATTTATCAAATTTATATAAATGGTATCAATTCTATTATGAACAATATATTCAAAATATAATGTTGACAATGATTGAAACAAATGAAGAACCATTAGATTTATCATTGAAAACAGATTTAATTGTCAACAAATCAATATGGTCAGTTTATTTTACTTTGTTAAAATTGTATTTCTTTAATTAGATAAGCTTTTTAAATATAGAAAATATATATGGAACGAGATCATATTTAAACAAGCAGAATGGGCGAGACTCTAAATTATGGACGAGCCAGTCAGAAGCATCTGAGAGATTTTAAGGTTACGGTGCCAACTTCAGTGCTTAATGCTAACGTACGATCGGTTCACCGAGGATTTTATACAAAATGTGATAATTGAGCAGCTATAACAAATAAAACAGTGAGACTATAATTTGTGGACGGATCAATCAGGTATAAGACAATAGATCTTGGATTTCGGCGCGAAAGCCTTTGGCACTATAGCTGATGTCAGTTCATGATGAAAACCCCATATATAATTCCTAACTAAGGCAAATTATGACAATTATTGCGAACTGGATAATAAAAGCACCAGTAACACTGGCTGTAGCCAGGCACTACAATATTACGGATGTTTGGAGAGCGTACAGACTCATTAATAGGCTTGGTTATGTGCATCGTGTCGTTATCCACAAGTAGCATTTTGTGCACTCAACAACGGGAGTGCACATAAACAATATTGAAGCTATGTGGTCGGGGCTAAAAGAGTTTTTGAGACTTTATCTTGGCTCCTGAGGCCGACTATTCTGTAGCCGTATGGATGATTTCCTCTACTGCATGCATTACGATTTTAGGACCTCTGAACCTCTTTCTAACCTTGACAAGTTTTGGAACCACGTATAAGAACTGTATCCACTTTGTTTCCTCGCCGCCGAATGGTATATAGATAATGTATGTAAAAGGGAAATTGTGAGGACAGTCAAAGCCTAACAAAACTACTGTCAAGAAAGGATAATATGGTCTAACGAACATGATTATTTCATACATACATACATGATTGTCTGTGACTGGCGTATATGACTATATTTGTTTCTACATAAAAATATTACTCGTCAATGAATATTCATTTATGGACGAATCAATCAGATTTAAGATGATTGGTCTTGGATTTTGGCGCGAAATTCATTCACCCAATTGTCTAAATAACGTCCTGGCATCTTAACTGATGTCACTTCGTGATGAAAACCATAAGTCTAATTCCTAACCCTAACCATCAACTGTAAATCATAATCCTTCCTCTTCATACCGCTTTATAACGATCATTTGGCCCTAGTAAGTAGGTGGATATTCCAAAGGTCACTTTAATGTAGCTCAAAGATCGTCCATAAATTATACTCTCATCTCCCATTCTCGAACTTCAGATTACATCCACAGTTGTGTCATAAATTATCAATCAAAGTTCTTAGCAAACATTTTCGACTAAGTTCACGAACCGATTGATGTTAGACCACCATCGAAAACCTGGAAGCATTGGACTGCCATTTCCAGGTTTTCCATGGTGCTCTAGCTTCAATTGATTCATGATCTCAACTGTTGAAATTACTACAATCTCCACAAAACCCCTTCTGATAATAAATATATATTATAAACACCAAGAAAAGTTACGAGATATTACTTAACTTGGTAGGCCTTGATGTGTTCCAGTTACATTTAGTGTAATAATCCATAATTATGAGTGATTAATAATTCCAATGAAGATTGTTATAATTCCATTGATATATCCATATGGAATATTTAATGAAAGTATAGCTGTAGTCTATAAATGTAAATAATAAATATTTTAAAATTCAATTATTGTAACAACATGCAAATGAGAAGAAAAGTGTATATGTGTATATATGTGTGTGTAGCAATGTATTTACAAGCAGTTATCATTATGTCATACTACATGAGATTTAAAACAGAAGAGGAAATATTCCAAGGCATGCAATTTCAAACACCTTTTACAGTTACCTGTAGCATGAAAGAAAATGTAAATAGTGTTGTGACTTAAAGTTCGGCTTGTTATCACGTGATATATCCGCCGGTCGAAATACGACTTATACAATGTTCTCACCAATGACGTTCGACCGGTATGAGCAGCCTAGCGTCCTCATTGGTCCTGTGTTCGCCTAGCGCGTCCAATTCAGTCCAGAACACCAATACCAGCTTCTACTATGCGAATCATTTGTTTCAGACATACTGCGCTTATATATCAACCAAACAGACCGCATCACTGCATAAACTAGGAAATAAAATTCATGCACAATAAAACCAAAATGTGGCTGTGAACGTGGGAGACTGTATTTCATAAACTGGGCATAACTTAAGAACAATAGATCGTACAATAATGATCTATGGATCAAAACGAAGCTTATAATAAGATGAATATAAATATACATAATCTAATTATAGAATAGTTATACCATAAGAATATATAGATAATATTAATCCGCTAATAGCTCTCAGAAGTTACTCGTAATTTAATCTTCGCTAGGATATAACCGTTAGGTAACCATTGGAAACTATGAATCACTAGACAGTTGTTTCATCTTAAGTAGGAGCTTACCTGCAATATATCTATATATATATATATATATATATATATATATATATATATATATATATATATATATATATATATATATATATATATATATATATATATATATATATATATATATATATATGACCAGAATGAGTCTCAGAAGTTAACCGTGATTAAATCTTCACTAGGATATAACAAATAGTATCATAACCTAATTGCAAAATAAGTTTGTCATTATTATCTCCACAAAATAATATAACAGTGCTAATTTGTTAAATATATGTGATTTTAATCATTTTCTCATGATTCAATTATTTTCTATCATTTTAAATAACTTTAAATGATTTCATCACATTTTTTCTGATTACAATTTTTATTCTTACAGTCAGCAACAACAACAACAACAACAACAACCACATCAGCAACAACAAGAACAACAACAGGAGTTACCAAGTGAACAATTAACTCAATCCAATAAAACATTCAATGAATCATTAAAAATTCATTGTAATTATTCTACATATTTATTATATGATAAACATTTAAAAAAAGATGATCATTTAATTCAAGCAAATCTATTAAACATGCCAATGATATATCCATATGAAACTTCTACTAAAATATCATCAAATGACTATTCTATTCATTCAACTAATTTTATATCAAAAAAATCTTTATCTAAAATAAAAAATTATTCATTAAATATAAAAAATAAATTATTATCACCATGCAAAATTAAAAAAATCAATAATAATAATAATCATACCTTATCAACTAATCAATTATATTTTAATAAATCAATAAAACATTCATATACACAAAATGAATTATCTGAAGCTGTAAAAGCTATTTGTTTTGGTCAATTAGGTACACGTAAAGCAGCTAATTTATATGGGATACCAAGATCAACATTAAGAAATAAAATATGTAAATTAAATGAATTAAAAAAATTAGAAGAAAAACGTTTAGGTGGTAAATCAATTGTATTATCACAATTTTTATTAAATTTAATTGAATTCAATAAATTATATCAATATTCAATAATCAATAATAATAATAATAATAATAATAATAGTAATGGTAATAGTAATAATAATGATTATTATGATTATGATTATTATAATAATTCACCATTATTAACTAATAATAAAGGACAAATTACAAAATTATGTTTATCAAAAAATTATATTAATTATTTAATGAATACAGCTAATAGAGTTGCATCAATATTTCAGGTAAACAATTTGATTGGTTTGTTTTTTTATATTTTTTTAATTTTTATTTATGTATTTATCATTCTGACTGTTGTTGCTTACATCTCCTTAGTTATTTATCAATCTTCTCATTTGGATAAGTTTGGTTTAAGTGTTTATTTATTTATTTGAACATATAGATATTGGTACAAGGAGGCACCAAATATATATGCGCTACAGAAATCTCATTCGATATATGTGAGGGCTGTGATACTGTTCGGGTGCACAAACCGAAACAGGTGGTTTTCTTAGGGGGCCACTCCCCGAACCTTTGACCTAAAGGTCTGATCCACAGCATCGTAAGGAAATGTAGTCTCATGGTAGCCGGTGACCAACGATTGATTCATACGCCATTTGTTCCTTTAAGATACTGGAGCCCATCTGCACCATTGATTTGGGATCCGGTTAAAACGCCGGACATTCGCTTTTCGTCCTCTGAATTTCGTAAACAACACCTACGCTACGAGAAGGCAGTGAGTTGAACTTCCCTGGCAGAAGCTATATACGCGTGGCCATGTGAGAGCATTTGGAGAGGGAGAGCAGACTCTCCCCACTCTCGGCCGTACCAGGGCATTTGGGAGCATTAACTTGAAACTGTTGTTGCTACCTTGATGTGATGGTTGGACTTACTTACTGTGATGAACCAATTGAACTATACTGGCTGGAACAATTGTTCCTCAAGGTTGTACTATGCTAGACAGGTCAGTTGAAGAGAGGTAAGATTAAAAGCATCAAATCCAAAGTTTGAGGATGAAGTCATACTGTGGTGTGTGCTACTTATATTTACATAAGTAGTATATGATGTTAGTCGTGAACAGAAGATTTGGTAACAGAGAGACAAGAGGATCAAACAGTAAAGAATGGAAACGGAATGCGATTTATATGAAAATACAAGAACAATGAAGTTTGGGCTATTTTGGGACAATCAATGGTCATTTTGCGAATTGAGCATTTAGTATATGGTTGTTAGATTTTATTAACAAGTTCTGTAATTTTGTGTTAAATACATTCGATTGTCCCCACCCGTTTTCTGTTCACTACAGTACTGCTGACTGTACAGAAGTGTGGCAGTAGTAATGTGCTTCCTTTAAACAACCAGCATAATAGAGATGCTGCCTTCGCATAAGTAGAGGTAGGGTTAGAAAAGGTCGACCCAAAAATTTCACACTTCGATTTATCCTACGGATATCCGTCTCCGATTGTTTTCAACAAGTACGGTCGTGTGTGATTGACCTCAAGCAGTTGTCCCTTGGGCCCTGAGGTCACGCTCTCAGGTCACTAAGGTAATCTTTAATCCTATTTCGTTTTCAAGTACCTCCAGAAGAACCTTTCCACGGTGTGGGCAACCGAGAAGTGATAGTTATCAGTATAAAATTGTGAAGATTGTTGAGTTTTGATTGAAATGATGAATTTATCAATGTGAGACCACCATTGAAAATCGGGAAGTACTGAATGGCCGTTTCGTTCTAGTATGGGACCCTTTTATAGTGCACATACACGATCCGGCATACGAGAATGGAATCCAGGACCTTCGGTCTCGTGTGCGAACGCATGCAAAAAATTTCTTTATTGGGATCATTCTTTGTCATTCTGAATTACGAAAATGTTTTGGTTTCTATATGGTGGAAACTATCAGGGAAATACAGTAAACCAGAGAGGCCGGTCAAAGACAAAGAAGGCAAGCCAATCACCGAAATTCAACAACAGTGTAACAGATGGGTAGAATACTTCGAGGAACTCCTGAATAGGCCGGCTCCAATGAATCCACCGGACATCGAAGCAGCACACATAGATCTTCCTATAGATGTCAACCCACCAACGACGGAAGAAATTAGAATGGCCGTCAGACAAATCAAGAACGGGAAAGCAGCAGGACCCGACAACATACCAGCTGAAGCACTGAAATCAGACATCGAAGCAACCACAAGCATGCTATACCTTCTATTCAAAAAGATTTGGGAGGAGGAACAAGTGCCAATGGACTGGAAAGAAGGACACCTCGTCAAGATTCCAAAGAAAGGAGATCTGAGCAAATGTGAAAACTACAGAGGCATTACACTACTGTCAATACCAGGGAAAGTCTTCAACAGAGTGTTGCTGAACCGGATGAAGGATGCAGTAGACGCCCAACTTCGAGATCAACAAGCTGGATTCCGTAAGGATCGGTCGTGCACAGACCAAATTGCAACACTACGGATCATCGTCGAACAATCAGTTGAGTGGAACTCATCACTATACATCAACTTCATTGATTATGAAAAGGCATTCGACAGTGTAGATAGGAGGACATTATGGAAACTTCTTCGACACTACGGAGTTCCTGAGAAGATTGTCAACATTATCCGGAACTCATACGACGGACTACAGTGCAAAGTAGTGCATGGAGGACAGCTGACAGATGCATTCCAAGTAAGGACTGGAGTCAGACAAGGCTGTTTACTCTCTCCCTTCCTCTTTCTTCTGGTGGTCGACTGGATTATGAAGACCTCGACATCTGAAGGAAAACACGGAATACAATGGACAGCTCAGAATCAATTAGACGATTTGGACTTCGCAGACGACCTAGCCCTCCTATCACGTACACACGAACAGATGCAGATGAAGACAGCCAGTGTAGCAGCAGTCTCTGCATCAGTAGGCCTCAGCATACACAAAGGGAAAACCAAGGTCCTCAAATTCAAAGCGGAAAACAGCAATCCAATCACTCTTGATGGCGAAACTCTGGAAGATGTAGAGTCCTTCACATACCTAGGAAGCATCATCGATGAACAAGGAGGTTCAGATGCAGACGTAAAGGCGAGGATCGGCAAAGCAAGGGTCGCATTCCTACAATTGAAGAACATATGGAACTCAAAACAACTTTCAACCAATATCAAAGTGAGAATCTTCAATACGAACGTCAAGGCAGTTCTACTGTATGGAGCTGAAACTTGGAGAACTACAACAACCACAATCAAGAAAGTACAAGTATTTATAAATAGCTGTCTACGCAAGATACTCAACATCCATTGGCCGGATACCATCAGCAATAGCCTTCTGTGGGAGAGAACAAACCAACTTCCAGCTGAAGAAGAAATTAGGAAAAGACGATGGAAATGGATAGGACATACATTACGCAAATCGTCAAACTGCATCACGAGGCAAGCCCTAACTTGGAATCCTGAAGGGAAGCGAAAAAGAGGAAGGCCAAAGAACACATTGCGTCGGATAATAGAAGCAGATATGAAAAGGATGAATTACAACTGGACGGAGCTGGAAAGGATTGCCCAGGACAGGGTTGGATGGAGAATGCTGGTGAGTGGCCTATGCTCCTTCACGAGGAGTAACAGGCGTAAGTAAAAGTAAGTAAATGGTGGAAAGTGTATTTATGCAGTTTGTTAAATCTCATAGCTTATATCATGAACTGATCTTATATAAATAGGCATTAAAAATCTGGAAGAATAAAATGAAGAATCGATTGAGCCTAGTAATGCAGATGATTGGACGCTGGTTCGGTAGTCACTCTAACAGTTAAAACTTTTAATTGTGATTGCTAATGGGATTATAGATATGCACTACTGAGCAGTACAATGCTACGATGAAACAGTTGTCCAATGTCTCCTGGTTTTCATTGGTAATCTTACAAAGGTTAAGATGTGATGTAATCTACGTTTTCTCGTCATTATCGTTGAAAGAAATTATGAAATAACTCATTTTGTGCACAAAAAATAATCGTCAAAAATACTTTTCATATTTAGATTCACAAGTGTTTTGATGAGATTAAAGTCCTATAAGGTATCTGTATATTTAGTTATATTGACCTTAAATTCAAAAGATTTATAGCATGCTCAATCACACTTTGTATGTGTTTAAACTTACCAAATCATCTAATTATTTTTTAACATAAAGAAGGTAGATGCTGATGATAATTTCTACATATATATTTACACATATATTCCCATGAATGTAAGAGCATCCATGATTGAACATAAGTTACAGTTTATGCTAGACTCATCTTACACGTTTAAATTTTCGGTGTTTAAACAGTTTGTTAACCCAGTCACAAGTTTTCATATATTCACCTTTAAAGTTAATTAATTAATTCATTCATCAACTCATCTCTCTTATCGTGTACTCTTTTGTCATTTGCCATCGGCATAAGTTTTCCTTCAACAAAACTTCTTCCACTTGGTTTTTTTTCTTTAAAAATTTTTTTTATAATTTTGTTCTGTTATTTTTTAAACTTTATAACTCCTCAACATTCATCTCTTGATTCCTACGTAACTACTGCTCTATTGACCATCCATGATAAAATCCTGTTCCTTCTCTTTTTCATATATTTCGCAACGTAGCAACTTCTTAATTTACTTTCAATATTAATAATCCTGTTTCTTCCAATTACTCAATGTTAATTTAAATGTCATTATGTAACTATTACGTAACGTATCCGCTCGATGAGTATTATATCATCAGCATAGTGGTTGTGGAGATTGTTAAGTTTTTGATTGAGTTCATGAACCGATTGATGTTAGACCAGCACTGAAAACCTGGAAGCACTGGACGGCCGTTTCGTCCTATTGTGGGACTCCTCAGCAGCGCGCATCCACGATCCCGCTCGTAGGATTCAAACCCAAGGCCTTCAGTCTCGCGCGCGAACGCTTAATTTACTGAACCACTGAGCCGGCATCTAATGGTGTTAATGTCTATTGTAAATCATATATATATTAGTGTAGAGCCATGATGAAAAACTAATTGAAAAGAAATTTCTCCGCTCATTTTGTTCCTTCTTTATTTACCAAATGGCAAAATGGGAATTTTCACTACATTTGATTTGTGCTGTGCTGAAGTAAACTTTTGCAAGTATTTGGTATTGCATTCGGAAAATTGAAGTAATGACGATTATTAAGGTGATTGATAAATGAACTATATATTAAGAAAAAGACCTTTGAAGGTATTCTGCAATAGATTCAGTTTCAAAGTGATTTATTAAATAAATTTGTTTTATTATTTCTTCTTTCAATTAGGTGAATTGTCGAAGAAGTTACATGTATAAAAAGACTTTAGATCATAAATCAAAAAATGGAGTAGAAAAATCAGTTCATACAAAGAAAAAATTGGCATCCATTCATAAACTACGATGTTCCCATCAACAACCAATTAATCAATAACAGAATTACAAAAATACGTTAGGTATCCAATCAAAAAGACTAACATCAAACTTAAAAGACTTTTACACTAGTATTTTCAATGCAAATCATGTTCTGTAATACAATATTGAATTGAATTTGGCTATTTAAATGTTCTTAAAATGACTTTGATTTTCAAATCATTGAATTTGTATATAGTTTCGGCAAAATTTCATTGATGCCTAACAATGTAAACAAAGGTGTTGTCAAATAAATGTAATTATACTATGGTATGCATTCCAACTAAGTCACTATCCAAGCTCCATCTACACAGAATTAGAAAACAAAGATTAATTGTATTGAGTGCATGGTACTACATACATATGTTGTACAAATTCACTTGATTCATAATGTTGTTGTTGAGAAAGGTAGCTTTTAAACTAGATCTCTCTGTCTATTATGATTTCGGCCATCATTTCATGGTCAGAAATCTACTTTTCTATTGGTACTCATTGTAGACTCTGTTGACAAGTGAATAAGCCGGTCTGTGCTACAAGAAGTCGCCTGGATCTTTAGTGTGGTAGCAGCGGCCTGATGATTGGTTGTGAAAACAACTGACTGGGAAGCTGGTAGGACAATGCACCTTGACATTTTGATATTTTATGTATGCTTGTGCCTAATTTCAGACATTTAGGTTAAGTATCAGAAGGGGTTTTGTGGATATTATGGTAATTTCAATAGCTGAGAGCATGAGTCAATTGAAACTAGATCACCATGGAAAACCTGCAAGTACTGGACGGCCGCTCTGTCCTATTGTGGTTTTAGCCATTTAAGACACTCATTAATTAGTTTCACAGTAGCTTTTGTTCCTAGATGCGACATATTGTGGATGTCTCCGAAGATATTAAGTATCACTGGTTTCGGAATAAAAGGTTGCGATCTATCTGTTTAAGCATCCCACGTTACTTTGATTGCATATAATCGCGCTTCTTCTAATATTGGTAGAGTTGTGGCTAAAAGTCTAAGGTTAGATTATTCAACATCCGGCATTTGTAGTATTGATAAATTATGTCAGTCGATTAAAGCTGAAGTAAAAGTGTTTATTAATATTTCGGACAATGCATTAGTAACAGATCTGTTATTACCTTTTATGTATTGTATGTAAATAGGTAACTATGATATAAATTCAAGTTTTTGAATCTATAATCGCTATCCACCAAGTCTTTGATTAGAAGTTTATGGTCTGTAAAAGATGTCATGAAATTACCGGCTAACATATGATGAAAACTCTAAAACGGCAGACAAATGGTTAGTAGACATCCATCCAAGGCACTGAAGGAAAGAAGCAAAGTAACTGCAAGTTCCTGTTTTCTCGTTATCACAGCATTATTCTGGTAGTGCTGTAAGAAGCATCTACCACGCGTCTCAAAGGTGCTCGGTTGATTCTAAACATAGTCAGCGCTAGTAACGTTTAATTCAAAGCTAGATTTTCAGGCCACTAGTGAGCTTTGGGGTATACGCGCAACATATTCGATCGTTTCTTGAATTCATCTTTGATATAAGCAAGGTCAATAGAATTATAGTGTCTAGGATGCGAGAACAACATGAGCTCTTTGGCTACATTATACTTTACCATATATTTCAGATCTCTTGGATTGTATGTTACTGTTTACCGCTAATGTAATCACTTTCTGTATCTGTCAATGCTGCTTTGAATTGTGAATATCAAGTTCGCAGGACTTGCATCAGATATTGTTCCGTTGATTTATTTACTTTTATTCTAAGCACACAAAACTTGATAAAATTTGGCGTCCATAGATAGAATTCTGCACACAAAGATATGGATAACATTGCTGGACCATTAAGATCAGCAAGCTTATGATGATTGACATCCACTTATAATTTATAAGACCGTAAAACGACAGTTCCGATTACTATAATTACAATGTCAGTTGTGAGAAATACGGTGAATATACGTTGTCTTACCAGAAATTTAGCTATCTTCTCACATAGGCGTTAGTGTGGGTTTATTAAAGCTTTATGTTGTGATTACAGAATCTCTCTTCGATGTGTTCGAAATGCAGGTGAATAGAAAGTGATCTTGTTTGAAATTATCAATGCCGATTAGTATTAGTTTGTAGTTGGCGTCCAGTTGCTGTTGAAAATAATCAACACTATAGGAACGCCACGTGCCATTTACCAGGTTAGACCCTTCGTAGGCCAAATATCAGAAGGCATTTGAAGGTTGTATCTAAGATGTACTTGTTGGCGATCTCGTGGTATCGAAATAATACCGAGATCCCGCCAAAACCCACAAGCAAGACTACTGGGCGTAAGAGAGTTTGTGCAAGGTCACAAAAAACGGAAGAGAGTGTTTTTTGGTACACTTAAACAAACAGATACAGTAAAACAATCACTGGTGCAGTTGGTTATAATAATTGTTTTCATCACACTAATTGCGTTCTCTTCACTAAAGTAAGTCACTACAAGTTTACAAAAACCATAGTATTTAACAATGTAAAAGTTGTTCATTTCCGTAATTATCATTAAAATACGATTTTCGAGTGTATATTGCGATATATTTCCCTCAAGAATGTTTTTAATACACAAAGCCACAGTTTATGACACTATATGTGTCAATCTTCTGTCTTTCTTGACTACAAGGTATACAACGTACAACCAAGTTTCATCATTAAATAGTGTTTCCAGAAAAATCTTTTTAATCTTTACATTTGAACTTTTAGCATGGTAAACTAACGAAATAAGTCTGTGGAACGAAGATTGTACCAAACATTTTACGTCGACATTTTGTTCGACTATATTGAAAGCAGTCAACTACAAAATAAATCCGGAACAGTTTGGAAATTTAAATATATATAAAGGTGTAGTAATGTAACCAAGTGAAACGTCAGTTGTACACGACATTATCGAAAACAGCTGGGAAAAATACGACGGAATCATTAAGATTATAGGGTACAGATATATAAAAAAAACTTATTGAAAGGCTTTGAGTAAATTGCTTTGACACGTCAGGACATTACAGTTCATATATTTGTGCATGTATGTGATTTGTAGGCTAAGGACAAAGGGTGACCGCCTTTGCTGGTCTTTTTCAGTAAGCTTCTGTGAGTGTCTAGCCTTCTCTGGAACTAGTACATTGTAGGTGAGGACACCACATTTTCCTGTATTGGGCTCCAAAAGCATTAGAAAATCTGCCGGACGGTCAAGTAAAGTAATGTATCAACGTCCCATACCACTATCATAGGAAAAATTATGGCTTTGTGAAGGGGACCAGAAGAAGCCTGTTCATTCAAAACTCCTGAATTTTGCCAAAGCATTCAGCACAGTGCACCACTCTGCCGTACTGACGAAGACCACAAGGATGAGGTCCATAAACCAACTATCCCAAAATGACTGACCATTCTACAGTGGAATCAATAGACTGAGTTCAAACTGGGGAGTGTCCAAACCCGAAGTTTGTGCGGAGCTGTAACTATGCCTCTTTTCTTCCCCATGTTCGACGTTGTTCTATCAGAAGAATGGCCACAGAAGAACGGCTTTGTATCCAAACTTCTGAAGTCACAAACGATGTTAGTTCGAGCTATCGTAGGGAATAAGGTTGGATAACTCCATTGATAATATTCGTAACGAATTATTTTCAGCTACAGCTTAAGTCAGAGTATCGTTTAAACGGAATTTTCAGGGTCTCTTCTTTTCTTAGTGGGAAAACCATTTTAGTCACTATGTTCTTGAACAAAACATTCCACCCTTCATTTTTACCTTTACCCAACCCCTTATGCCGTCAGTTTTCATCAGTGTGAAGTCTTCTGGAAGGTTAACTGAAAGTCTTTGACTGGTAATTTTCAGAAAGGGGTATTGTGGATATCATAGTAATTTATATAGCAGCTCACGTACATTTGAGTTTATTCACATTTGATTTCGTCAAGCCTTGTTGTTCAACGGACCGTGTCATTTGTACAAGAACAACTTATCTATACCATTGTAGCATTATTGTTGTGCTTTTATGAATATGTATGCCTGAGCATTGTTTACCGCCTACGCATATATTCATTCTGCTAACTTTAATGTTATTAGCTCAAGTGATTCGATGACTCATTCATTTCTCTATGTATATACACATTTGAATCCTGTTCATTTGACTCGCTCATTCGACTTACATCCTCACGCGTTTGCGGCTTGCTTCTCAGCACCACTCCTCCATGTTTGCCTAGCGTACCTGTAAATTTGGTGATTTATGAGTGGTGCATTTATAAACGTAACCAATACTTCGTATTCGTCTTCTGACTAATACACCATTGAGACGTTAGCTAGTGACGGTTATCAGGACGAACTGTATACAACGTTTAAGGATTATATTAAATATCGACCACTACAAAGTAATTGTCGATGCCTGTTTTGTCGATTTAAAGAATATTGGTTTACAGAGAACGGAACCAAGACGATCTCACCAATCTAACACTTGCAACTTTTGATAGGAATGAACAGTAGGCAGCGTGTTAAAACGTAACCTGTAGAGATGTCATGTCATGAACATACTGCCCAATGAGATTCAAACAACTCCCGCTCTCCATGGATACCTGTACCCGGCTGTTTTCTTAAAACCCAATCGCAGGCGAATAACCATATCGTATCCCTCAATCAATTTTTCTCACATTTATGTCTATTCACATTGTCTGCAAAATTATTTACTTGGTCAATTCATCAGTACTTGATTTAGTTCTTCTGAGCAAAGTTTTCGCCACTTTTCGATGTTCGAATTAACTTCTTTTATTTTTTATATTGCAACCGAACAACCTCCTGCCTGATAATATGATAGCTACTAATTTCAAAAATCCATGATATGCGATGGCATAAATGACTGTTTACTGTCCTTCAATTTCTTCTCACCCCAACAGCATGGTTTCAGGAAGGGTAACTCTTGTATTACCAACCTGCTGACTGCGGTGGACGGATGGACAAGCATCCTTGATCACAAGGGGAAAGTCGATATCATCTACCTAGATTTCTCAAAAGCTTTTGATAAGGTTAACCATACACGTCTTATCAATAAGCTCAAACGATTGAGTACCAGACCACCTCTAATCGATTGACTCAATTCATACCTGAAAAGTCGACATTTGAGGGTCAGGGCTAATTTCAATTTATCTCAGGCTATGGAATGTCTTAGTGGGGTCCCCCAGGGCTCAGTACTAGGACATCTTCTCTTCTTAATCTCCATAAATGATCTTCCTCAGCAGGTAACGTCAGACTTATTACTTTTTGCCGATGATATGAAGCTTTGGAGAGAGATACGCAACCAAGACGATATACAGGCACTTCAGAAGGATCCGACTCGACTTCAAAGTTGGGCAGACGATAACGGACTTCAACACTTTAAAGTGTAAAGTAGTCCATCTGTGACATGTCGCAGACTACACTTACAACTTAGGAAACTCCTCTCTAGTAGTATTTCCAGTCGAAAAAGATTTAGGAGTCCTGGTGCTTTACGATTTAAAGTCTTACGCTAACTGTGATAAAAATGCCTTCCGAGCAAACCTTGCACTGATAACATTGAAGCGCATTTTTGGACAGTTTGACGGAAGAACTTTCCATATAATCTTCAATAGTTTTATCCGTCCCCACTTAGAGTATGGAAACATAATATTTCCTCCCTCACTCCAAGAGGATAAGAACACCCTGGAGCGTATCCAACGGCGAGCCACGAAATCAGTTCGAGGACTCAAATTTAAACCTTACGAAGAGCGCCTCCATTCACTTAAACTTTACCCATTAGAGTATAGACGTCTTAGAGGTGACCTTCTGATGGCTTATAGTATCATTAACACTTCTGGACATCCTCTAAGACACCTACTTAAGCTTCGTTCCAACACTAACCTAAGGGTAACACCCAAAAACTGGAGACACAACATAGCAGAACGAACTGTAGACACAACTTCTACTCCTTAAGAGTTGTCAAATGCTGGAATTCTCTGCCGGCCGAGCTAATCCAAGCGACTTCCCAGGAGTCCTTTAAGAGGCAACTTGATCTATTCTTAAGGACTAAGGATAGTATCACACTATGATTTACTAATTTCTTTTCCTCTTTTATTGTTAACATACCTAGGTTTCTGCCTGGAGGATTTGGTGATCCCCTGCTACTAGACACGGAAGCCTGTTAAGCGAAAGCTTCTTCTATTCCGTCCACAACCATTTGAACCATTTGAACCCAAGGCTGTTGAAAATTACTGGAGGTTGATTTAACCATAACCGACCTCGACCTTGAGTCATTCAGCCACCTTTAGAAACATTCGCTGCAATTGGCTCGTTACGTCGGCTCTGTTCCTCGTTTGATGTCTTCAAACGGAATTTGTTCCGGAAAATTTCTTTCAGTTCCTTCTCTTCCAGACTCCATAACTGCGGTCACTCATTTAAATTCCTAACCACAACAGCGGTTTCCCTAAAATAATGCCATATTCTTCAGAATATGATATTCAATGGCCTCCTAATAGGTCCGACGTTTTCGTCGTTGTTTGGAAACACTATGTCTACTTGTTCCGACTGGAACAAGCTTCATCTGCATCAGTGGATTCAAACAGTATTTAAATGGGTCCAATTTGAACTTTTCGATACTTTATATTTACAGGTTTTATTATTGGTTCAAAGCTCAGATTTCTGCTTTCCGCTCTGAATATTTGGAGTAACAATGTATCCCCACAAGTATGCTTACTGTATTTCAGTATTAGGTTTTAGTGTGTAGCTTGGGTATCCAGTAGCAATAAACCAAACCTCGACGTAGTCCCAAATCATCTGATTGCAATCACCCATAACGTTGGGTGTGTCAAACTCATGGGGTAAGTTAAAAGTTTCCGTAAGTCAACCTGATTATAGGCTCCCCAATTGTAATATCGAGGAAGACAGATTCGGTTTACAAAATAAAGAACTAAGTATTTCTTGTGTTTTAAATAATGACATGTTAAAGCACCTAGATTTTCCAGAAACACTGCTTTTCTTGTTTGGAATCCTTGGAAACGTAACTTGGCAAGTCTACTGCTTTCTGTTCTTGTTTGTATATTGCTTTGATTTATTTTCATATTATTAAGTCCACACATATTTAGTTACCCGCGCCTCAGAGACGACCGTTGATCGTGTTGGGTTTAAACTTATTATAAAAGTGCCAAATGGCACGGTGCTTATCCTCCAGTTTCCCACGTTTAAGCATGCCCTGATATTTAGTCTAATTGGTCATTGGTATTGAAATGTAGATGCTTTGCAAGTCGTTGCAATCGTCTAGGTAATAATTCAAGGTTTACGAAGTCTAGTTTTTAGGTGGTACCTTAGCCATCTTTCCTCAAATTCGGAATACCTATACAACCATAGTGCTTATTATCTTACCGTTTGACTCACTCAATTCATTTTAACTAACTAAAGATGCTAATAAAAGGTCACATAATTGAGACTATGCTGTTTATGTAGTCTAATGCAAGCCAGTAACCTATGGATTTGAGTCAGTCAGCTACAACGTAGGACCAGGCACATATATGCATCGGTCCAAGTTGCCATACCTCATTAACACTACAAGATGGACGCCGGATTCATAAAAGTAGTTAATTCAGGTAGTAATATATAAACGAAAGATTGCAATAAGGATATAGTACAGAAAGAAAGATATGAACCAATTTCAATCTCTTAGTTTAAGGGAAGATAGAGAGTGTATACACCTATGCCTTTGTGATCGATTCTGAGCCATGTCACCAAGAGTCTCCAACCATCGGTTACGAAAGTCACACGGACCCCAACCAAGTAGTCTGCATCTACCAACATGGCTCATACCAGAAGTTAGTGACTTCAAGCACTGATGCCACGTTTTGGTTTGGCCGCCCCTAACTTTCTTCCAACCATCTCCAACACCGGTTAGCATTGCACGTCGTGGTAATCGGTGTTTGGGCATACGTAACACGTGACCCAACCATCTCAGTCGATGAAGATTAACAAACTCGTCAAATGATTTACCATCATTACCCAATACCCTGCGTCGAACCTCACTATTACTTACCCGGTGATCCCAGCAGACGCCAGCAATATTTCTGAGGCATCTGTGGTCAAATACTAGTAGCTTACGAGTATCTTCTACTCTTAATGGCCATGTTTCGCTGCCGTAAATTAAAACAGAATGGACTGCCGCGCGGTATACTCGTCCTTTTATTGGTAGACGGATATCTCGCCTTCGCCATAGGTGACGTAAGTTGGCAAAAGCCAAGCGAGCTTTTCGAATCCGTGCGAAGATTACGTCAGACACCAACCCATTAGGGCTAATAAGACTTCCGAGATAAGTGAAGTTGTCAATGCGTTCGACTACTTCACTTCCTATCATTAGTTCAGGCGTTGACGCAGACCAGTCCTGAAGCAACAACTTGCATTTAGAGGGAGAGAAGCTCATTCCAAACATTCTGGCATTGTTACTCAGTGCGACCAAAAGACTCTGCATTTTATCAGCGTCTTCATCGGATAGGACTATGTTATCTACGTATTCCAAGTCGATAAGTGGACCTCCTGGAAGGAGATCAATACCCGAGAATTCAGTCGACGAGAATGTTATTTCCTTCAGTAGGTCTATGATGAAGTTAAACAGAAATGGAGAAAGTGGACAGCCTTGACGGACACCACTTGAGGTTGCAAAAGCAGTACTGCTGCATCGACAAAAGTTTGTACTGCTAACCACCTACATGCCTAATTTAGGACAACTCATTAAACGAGTTAAGGTTCATATATTCGGTTTCCATTGACTTATTATTCTAAGGGAAATAAATAGCTTCCCTCACCTAAGTCAAGTTAGATGGAGAAGGGTGCATTAACGTGTGAGATGCTATATGGTTGCATTATTTATGTCCATTTATTTTCTCTAAAAGCTTATTGATTGTTTAGCTATGGTTTGTCGACGATTTCCACTTTTGTTGATTCTATTTCTACATTATTTTGGTTCGTTTTACGTGTTTTTTCACTATAATAGCTAGCCCAGGGTTTTGACAGACCTCGAAACAGCAGAGAACCTTCTGTACTGATATGGGATGTGACGAAATACACTGGGTCGCGGCATCCCAACGTGAAGTCTACAGATCGAGGTTCAGTTTGTGCAAATGACCTCCATACGCATACATATTCACTCCCATTTGCAATAAATGGGTCAGACTATAGTGTACCAGATACTCAAGCTACGTCATCACTTGCTTCCGTATATTCCTCAGTTTCGGAAAAAGAATGGATATCTAATACAACTACATGTGATAAACCTTTGTGTGATTTAGGTATGTTAGACGAAAACAACACGTTTTTGGTTTATACTTGTTTGTTGTGTACATTTTGATATAATCGACATCTTCAAATACCAGATCAAAGATAATCCATATGCATTAATTAACATACTTTATTTCATGTTGTATTTTTGTAATTTTGCTTGCGTTATGTAATTATAATTATCCACTGCTTGAAACCATCATCTAGACATGGTGGCATCATTAAATGGTTTTCCACCAGTTTGAATATATAGTTAGAAGTAGAGAAATCAAATTAATTGTGAGCTTTTAGGTATGAATTGACTAATTCGGTCAAAAAATGTACAAATCATTCGTCGTCAAACTAGACACCTGTTTCAGTCATTAAACTTTCTTGGTCTATTCCATTTAGTAAACTTCGAGAAATGTACCTCAATATGGTTTTGAACAGTATTTGTGAATGCTAGTCACTGTAATAGATTAGGTCAGCCTATGTTTATAAAAAAGAAAGCGATAGCATAACAATTAAATGATTCAACCATCAACCATTAGGTTGTAGGCTTAAACACCCTAGCACCTGTTTGGACAGCATATTGGTCCTGCTAGCTTTCATGTCAAAGGTGCGACTCAAAGCTTAGTACATTAACCTGGACTGGACCACAGAGTTAAATCAAGATCAAAGCACTTTATGTTATTCCTAGTCACTTTTCGAGCCTTCACTTTATCCTAGTTGTGAAAGGTCAGAGGTATAACTCCCGATGAAAGCAGCTTTCTATGCTTATGAAATCTGACCCCAGGAGAAGAATGTTCTCCCCTCCGTATATGATCTCCATTACCTACAGGGGGATTATCATTATATGTATTAACAACACTGATATCCAGAACCTTGTATTTTGGTTATAAATTATTATATAGGTTGATCAAAGTATTTCGCATACACTTCATAGTAGTCTTGACGTGTTGTAAGCTACTTCTTTAGTGTTATTTTTGATATCTAAAAAACAACAACACTTGTTTATTAGTTTAGCGCCTAAAATAAAACCTGAATTATCCATTCCGTTTAATCAGAACTTACTATCGTTCCCAATCTCTACCCTCTTTTGGTTGAAGCTACATGGTAGAATGGTTTTTTTTGTTCTAACAAAATAACATACCTGGACATAAAATACTGATTACAATAGTGAGTATGACTAGAATTCATCTAACAAATAAACGATTAGAATATATGGCAGCTGTAGGTCATTCACTCTCCAGATTTATTCCGTAACTATCAGACTTAGTTCCTTCCCTGTCACATTAGATAGTTTCACAATATAACCCACTAAGAGATATAAAAACAAGTTTCATTTACCTGCCAATGTTAACCAAACTATTTACTCCCAGCAATTTTATCTTTAAAATAGCTACCACTAATTCGACACTAATAAAATTTGTCTAAATATGGACTGATCAACTTTAGCTTCTGTAAAATGTCTGGTGTGCCACTCTGACTTTCTATGTAATAAGATGAGTTATGACTATAAGTCCTCTGAATGTATTTTCTTACCTGAGTTGAGGGGATGGGGTAATTTAAAAAATCTTCAAATGTCCACACCATTTTATAGATTTTTCTGTCGATAGTTATCAATGGCAAGGAATTCAGTAATCATATTAATATTTTCTGGTCTTTTTTTTACCAAAAGGCATTCAAGATACTGCATCATTTGCGTGGCTTTCTAAAAGTTCATTTATTGCTGGCATGTCAGGAACCTACCTGAAAGTGTTTGACTTATCTGGTATGTTTTTTTAAAAACCTATCTTACATGAGTTACCTAGAATTTGTTTTTTATTGCATTATCAAATATTCTTCTTGAGATTCCTACGGTACTAGATATTTGAGCGAAGTATTGATAAATTTAAACGACATGAACGAACCGGTAAAATTAGATTCTCGGTGCATTAAACGGTTGTTCAAACATTGCAACTTTCAGAAGAAAAACTTAATTTGATGTGGATAAATTTGCCGACTGATTGTTGTGCTTAGTTTTCGAAAGATATGCGATATATCTTGGTACGAGTCACCAAAACCAAATACTACTGTCACTTTCTGTTTAATAACGTTAGCTAGTCAAGTCACTATGTAGAGTAGTTTAGGTTTCTGGTCAAGGTCAGCGATTTATTGATGGTCAAAGTTTGGAAATATCAAGTTACATGATGCATGACTGATTAGAGTTGAAGAGATAACCTCATTATATTCTCTGATACGTTGAATTCTTAAAAATTTCCATTCTTTTGTTTCTTTTATATCATTCTTTTAGTTATTCACCTTTGTTTGTCTTGTACGTTTCACCTCTTCATTCCTTTACTTGTCAAATTCCTCTTTTCACCACAATGTAAATTATAAGAACCACGATCCGACTACTGATCTGCCTATGCGTCTTTTCCGAAGTTTGATGCCTGGACTCTTTTATTCCGATAACACCTATTTACATTTCTAGCTGTTAGTACGTACGAAGTAGTATTGTCATTATATAGTTCATCCTTCACCAGTTCAATTATTCTTTACTACCTTTTCCGGTTCCTATGATAGATCCGTCAAAAGTTTGTCAAATAACTACAACTAGGGCAGTCTATGGTTTGACAGTTGATCCCTTATGCAGTAAACGTTTCGCTTCATTCTGTGAGGTAGGTTTTTCTATACATCATTTTAATTTTCTGACGACTCATTATTTAAATGTCGCTTGTGTGTGTTTTTAATGTTAGAAGCACTACGTTAAGTTCAAATATCTATCGTGAAATTCGGTTCGGTACTCTTGACGATTCACATCCAAACTCTGCACTTGTTGTCGACTAGTTTTTCACCACTTGAACTTTCAAATTCGTTAGAATTGATCACCCGTATCAGGAATCTTTGTGAAGATTAGTCCTGAATAAACTTACATCTTTACTAATATTATATATCTATCAAAACTTTTGTCAAATATTATTTGTTTTCCTCTGTTTATATTTGATTTAAATGCCTATATTGTTTACAATCAATAATGAAAAGTGGGATATCGAATAAAATACCATTGTATCAAATCTTTAAATCACTGATGGTTAAGGGAGCTTACCGACTGTTCACTGAATTCTTTCTGATAGTGATTATCATGCTCACTAGGGACTGGCTTCAAGAAGTATATCCTGGAGTTCTAGTGAGAAGCAGTGACCAGTGAAATTCAACCGGGTCTGTTGTGAGATAGTAACTCACTGAAGGCAATGGTGGATGTGTCGCTTAATTTCATGGATTGGTTGAAGTTAGACATTAACACCATTAGATGCCTACTCAGTGGTCTAGAGGTTAAGCGCTCGCGCGCGAGACCGATAGGTCCTGTATTCGAGTCTCGCGAGCGGGATTGTGGATGCTCACTGCTGAGGAGTCCCACACTAGGACGAAACGGCCATCCAGCACTTCCAGGTTGTCCATGATGGTCTAGCTTCAACTGACTCATGAACTCAACTACTAAATGTTGTGGTCGGTATTCGATATTATTCTCAAACTTCGTGTACTGTTCGTCCTGATAGCCGTTACTACATAACGCCTCCCAATGGTCTATAAATCAGAAGACGAATACGAAGCTTTGAGCACGTTTATTATTGTACCACGCACAGATCACCAAAACCACAGGTACACAAACCAAGAATAATAGGGTTGTGTCGAAAAGCAAGCGAGCGAGTCGAATGAATAAGATTAAAATGTACATGTTTATATACATAGAAAAATGAATGAATCAATTAAGCTAATAACATTAAAGTTAGCAGAATGAATATATGCGTAGGCGGTAAACAATACTCATTCATACAAGCACAAAAATAATGCTACAGTGGTATAGATAAGTTGTTATTGTAAGAATGACTCGGTCCGTTGAACAACAAGGTTTGACCAAATTAAATGTGAACAAACTCAAATGTACGTGACCTGTTGTGTAAATTACTATGATATCCATAATACCCCTTTCTGAAAATATTTCATTCAACTCAAAATCATTGTTTGTAAAGTTAAACCGTGAACACTGACAATAAGAGAAGGAAAATTGTGCGCTAAAATTACCAACTTTTGTGGAATAGTATCTATCATTAAAGATAGATAGAAAACCTTGGAAATATTGAATAAAGTTAGACGATCATCAGGTTATCATGTTTTAAGACTAACCTGATAATTTTTCTAGTTAGCTAAAACATTGATTTAAGTCAGGTTAATGTTCGTCCCTCAGGCTGCACATCTGAATTATCGAAAGTACCCTCTGATTAATTGCCAGTAATTTGTCATCCAACTGCATAAAAGCTAATAAACTCACTGCTTTCAAAAGTCGGGGAATTTTTTTAAAATAGGAATAACTGATTAATTATTCTTACCCTAGAAACTTTGCATAAATCATATTTTTTCTGCTTAAAAAATTGCACTTCTCTTTACATTTTGTATTTCCGAATTTCAGCGTCAGGTTTCATTATGGAGATTGGATAATTTAGAAAAGCCTGTAAGTTAGTATTTAATTATTTCTGTCATAATTGTATAGAAATTATCAGTATAGGGTTTTGGAGATTGTTGTGTTTTTTAATTGAGATCATGAATCGACCAATGTTAGATCAACATTGATTGGAAATTCCTTGTTTTTCCTGGTCACATTTCGATCCTAAAATATCAGTTCATTGGAACAAGGCTTACGAGGTATTTCTGAAATTCCAACTTGTTAACAGTCACATTTTCTTGTCTATGATGACAATGTGCTTTACTCTTTACATTATGGTTTTCTATTATCAACAATCATTTTGAAATATTCTAGGAATATCCAACTTAAATTCCTGCCAATAGACTTCAATATATGCAACTTTAAAATGAATAGTCAACCTTCAGCTTTTTTTTCAGCTTAATCAAAACCTAGATTTCATACAAGCCAGTAGATTTACCGTTTACAATTATATTAGAAACTTATATGTTTCTTTATTACCCCTACATAGATACAGAGAATTCTGTTAAGGAAACTTATATAATCAATGTATCAGTCCTTAAAAAATTAAATCATAATCATTTGAATATATATTTGTCGGAGGAACTAACATTGTTATCAGTGAAGTGCTAAAGTATTCAGTTGACAGTGTTATAATTCAGGAAATTTACATTGTTTTGGATTTTGCAACAATTGGTACTTTTAGTGATGTTAAACTTTCGAATCTGTTTTCACGAACCAATAGTTTGAGTGAGAGGAGCATAATTAAACTGTTTCATTCACACTAAAATGCACATTTGGTTTCCTTGATTATTATCAGAAATAGGTTTTTGAATTTAATTATAGTGTTGTATGTTTATCCCGACCGTTGTTGCTACCTTGACGTGGTGGTCGGGCTTGCCTATCGTGATGAAGCAACCGAGCTATACTGACTGGAAGAACTGTTCCTCAAGGTCCTACCACGTCAGTAAGGTCGGTTGAAGAGCGGTAAGACTAAAAGCAACAAACCCAAGGTCGGAAGGCGAAGTCGTACTGCTGACTGTACAAAAGTGTGACAGCAGTAAGGTGTTTCCTTCAGACAACCAGCATGACAGCGATGCTGCCTTCCCACAAGGAGGGGTGGGGTTAGAAATAGTCGACCTTAAAAATGCACACCTCGCCTTATCCCACGGATATCCGTCTCCGGCGGTAAGGTCCCAAAAAGTACGGAGCTAACACAAAAATTACCCATAAAAAGGTCGTGTGTGACCGACCTCAAGCAGTTGTCCCTTGGGCACTGCGGTCACGCTCCCAGATCACTAAGACCATCTCTAATCCAATTTCCTTTTTAGGTACCTCCAGAACAACCCTTCCACGGTGTGGGCAACCGGGAAGTCATAACCGCCCTCATACCTCTAACAGCACTCAAGACCACTGTGTTCATAATCAACCTCCCTCTTCAATTTCTATTATTCCTCCTACATCGACTTTCAACTCGAAACTTCCTCTTTCGGCTTCCCCTCAAGTGTCACCATAGCCAACGATTCTAGTGCTCAAAACACTGTCCCAGGTCTACTAAAACCTCGCTCCACACTACACATTGGAGCCTTCAATGTACGCACCCTATGTCAAATCGGCCAGCAGGCTTCCTTGGCTAAAACCCTAGAATCTCGTACCATTGATGTATGCTGTGTCTCTGAAACATGCATACAGGATCCCAGTGTGGTCATTCACTTGACCTCACTTCGGCAAAACGGAGAGCCAACGAGATACACTCTCCGTGTATCTGGTGACCCGATGGCCAGCTCTCGTGGACTGGCAGGAGTAGGGATAGCACTAAGCATGAGGGCGGAACAAGCACTGTTAGAGTGGATCACCGTCAACAGTCGTCTATGTGCTGTTCGGCTAAACGGCTCCGTAAGAACTCGGAAGGATAGGGACACACGTCGTTGCCTTTTTGTCGTTTCTGCCTACGCTCCCACCGACTGCAGCTCAGATGAAATGAAAGATGAATTTTACAGAAAGCCATCTGAACTTCTTCAGAAAGCTAAACGTTCAGACATAGTACTCGTAGGGGGTGACTTTAATGCCCAGATAGGTAGTTTAAACCAAACAGAAAGGCATTTAGGTGGGTATTTTAGTATTCCGGCACAATGAACAGATAATGGTGATCGTCTGCTACAACTGTGCTCAGACAATCGTTTATTTTTAGCAAACACAAATTTTAAGCATAAGGAGAGACATCGTCTAACATGGCGACCCCCTACACCAAACCAACAATAGACTCAAATAGACCATATTGCCACCAGTCATCGTTGGAGAGAGTCGGTAGAAGATTGTCACTCATTCTGGAGTACCTGCTTGGACTCCGACCATGCCCTAATACGGGCACGCATCTGCTTTTGCCTCACTGAACGCAAAAATGCCACACTAAAAGACCCATTAGAGCTGAATTGAGTAGCGAGAAAACCAAAAGTAGGTTCCAGGAACAACTGAGGTCACAATTAGGTAGTTCTAAAAACGAGGTTGACCCAGATGTTGCTTGGAAAGCTATACAAACAGCTGTGGAAACAGCAGTGACATCTATCAGGACGGCCTGCTTGATCATCTGGGCTACCTGTTCCTGCCATCTAGATATTTCAACAAGTTATCTATTTTTGTTTGTTTTAATATATCATTATGTTTATTAATTGCGTAACCTATTCTGCTGCGTTTCTGAAAAGTGTACAACCTTTCGTTGTCAAAGTTACAAAAAACTCAATAAGAGACAATGTGGTTGCTGGCAATATACAACGGAAAGAATGCGCATTATTCAGATGTTCATTTACTGAACAGTTAACACCTAACTGGCGATCACTCAATATTTATCGCCAGCACCGACCAAGAAGAAAGAAACGGAAACTTGTTGAAATACTTTACGCTGAGAATTCTATATTGTACCAAAAATATAATATTGAATAAAGCTGATAATAATAATAATAATAATAATAATAATAATAATAATAATTTAAACCACAGGGTTACAAGGAACCAATGGATTTCCTCTAGGTCCATTGCACTGATTGATTCTCGTAAACTCATCCCATCAGGCTCTGAAAACGATGAAGAGCGACAACATGTCAGATCTAGCTTAAGAAAAAGTCTAAGAAACGACCGTGAGCAGTGGTGGGCAACGAAAGCAAAAGAGATGGAAAAGGCGGCGACTATAGGGAACACAAGACAGCTTTACAGACTAATAAAAGAAACTGGAATTAATAAGTCAAGTGTAAGTGAGATTATTTCGGAAAAAGACGATACTCTCATCTGCTCCCAGTCCAGACGTTTAGAACGATGGGCGGAACATTTCAGAGAACAGTTCAGCTGGCCTTCAGCTACTCTACAACTACCCTCCATTCCCAGACAGTGTGAATGGAACATTGAAGTAGGTCCCCCAACTCTTGCTGAAGTTCAAAAGGCTATAGTTAATCTGAAACGAGGAAGGGCAGCTGGTCCAGATGGACTGGCTCCAGAGGTCTTTAAGGATGGTGGTCCAATTTTAGCGATTAGGTTGACTAATATTTTAGCTAAGATCTGGGAATTAGACGTTATCCCATCTGACTGGTCACAATCACTTATCGTCCCAATATATAAGAAAGGGTCAAAATCATCCTGTGACAACCACAGAGGGATTAGTTTAACTAACATAGTATCTAAAATACTAGCCTCGATAATTATCAGACGCCTAACTAAGACTCGTGAACTGCAAACACGAGAGAACCAAGCTGGCTTCAGACCTGGTCGTGGCTGCATCGACCACATATTCACCATTCGTCAGGTTCTAGAACACAGGCATACTTATCGGCGTCCGACAATGGTGGTCTTTCTTGACTTAAAAGCAGCATTTGACTCGGTAGACCGCGAGATTCTGTGGCAGTGTCTGTCATTGAAAGGCGTACCCCAGAAGTACATAAACCTTGTGAAGGCTCTTTACTCGAACACTACTAGTCGAGTCAGAGCTTATGGCGAACTGTCATCTACTTTTGCAACCTCAAGTGGTGTCCGTCAAGGCTGTCCACTTTCTCCATTTTTGTTTAACTTCATCATAGACCTATTGATGGAAATAACATTCTCGTCGACTGAATTCTCGGGTATTGATCTCCTTCCAGGAGGTCCACTTATCGACTTAGAATACGCAGATGACATAGTCCTGTTTGGTGAAGACGCTGACAAAATGCAGAGTCTTTTGGTAGCACTAAGCAACAATGCCAGAATGTTTGGAATGCGCTTCTCTCCCTCTAAATGCAAGTTGTTGCTTCAGGACTGGTCTGCGTCAACACCTGAACTAAGGATAGGGAGTGAAGTAGTCGAACGCGTTGACAACTTCACTTATCTTGGAAGTCTGATCAGCCCTAATGGGTTGGTGTCTGACGAAATCTCAGCACGGATTCGAAAAGCTCGTTTGGCTTTTGCCAACTTACGTCACCTATGGCGAAGGCGAGATATCCGTCTATCAATAAAAGGACGAGTATACTGCGCGGCAGTCCGTTCTGTTTTAATTTACGGCAGCGAAACATGGCCTTAAGAGTAGAAGACACCCGTAAGCTACTAGTATTTGACCACAGATGCCTTAGAAATATTGCTGGCGTCTGCTGGGATCACCGGGTAAGTAATAGTGAGGTTAGACGCAGGGTATTAGGGAATGATGGTAAATCAGTTGATGAGGTTATGAATCTTCATCGACTGAGATGGTTGGGCCACGTGTTACGTATGCCTGAACACCGATTACCACGACGTGCAATGCTAACCGGTGTTGGAGATGGTTGGAAGAAAGTTAGGGGCGGCCAAACCAAAACGTGGCATCAGTGCTTGAAGTCACTAACTTCTAGTCTGAGCCATGTTGGTAGATGCAGACTACTTGGTTGGGGTCCGCGTGACTTTCGTAACCAATGGTTGGAGACTCTTGGTGACATGGCTCAGAATCGATCACAATGGCGTCGGTGTATACACTCTCTGTCTTCCCTTAAACTAAGAGATTAAAATTGCTTCATGTCTTTCTTTCTACGAACTAATTCTTTCTTCCTGTACTATATCCTTATTGCAATCTTTCTTTTATATATTACCACCTCTGAATTAACTACTTTTATGAATCCGGTGTCCATCTTGCTGTGTTATGAGGTATGGCAACCTGGACCGATGCATATATGTTTCTGGTTCTACGTTGTAGCTGACTGACTGACTGACTGTTGTATGCTTATGATAATCACACCTGTTACTCCTCATGGAGGAGCATAGCTACCCACAAGTCTGTTTGCTGCTTTTTTAGTGAGTTATTTTTCTACAGGATGTTGTCGCTAACTCCATACCCGACCGTCCTCCTCTACGCGGGCTTTGGACCGGCAGTAACTTTAGAAGGGCTACAGGCGGAGTTATGATAATCAAATGTGCTTATAATATCTCAATGAATAGAAAATTGAATTTCTAATGTTTCATGACTGCGTAACGCTAGAAGTTCAGTTGTATGTTTTTATCATAAACAATCTATTTAGTGCATAGTTTATTTGAAATTATCAAACCTACTCTTGGTAGTGATATCTACAGATGTATATGTCATAGTCTTGATTTGTCATGATTCATATATCAAGTTATGAAATAAATCATTCATATTTCAAACAAACTCAACCAGATACTAATGATATTTCATTTTCTTATAATTACTCGAAAAAAAACACCTTTAGGTTTATACATTTATGGAGTCTGGTGATGTTCTGCAGATCAAGTGGAGTCCTTCAAGGTAAAAAAAATTAATCGTACATATAACTTTTTGAAAATGTTAAATGATTTATTTGTATTTATTTATTTATTTTAACACATAGATATTGGTACAAGGAGGCACCAAATACATATGCGCCACACATATCTCATTTGATATGTGTGAGAGCTGTGATACTGCCCGGGTGCCCAAACCGAAGCAGGTGGTTTTCTTAGGGGACCACACCCCAAGCCTTCGACCTACAGGTCTGATCCACAATGCAATGGAGCAACGTTAGGAGATGCGGTCCCATGGAAGCCGGTGACCAACGATTGGTTCATACGCCATTTGTTCCTTCAGGATACTGGAGCATATGTGCACCATTGGTTTGGAATCCGGTTAAAGCGCCGGACATTCGCTTTTCGTCCCCTCAATTTCGTAAACAACACCCACGCTATGAGAAGACAGTGAGTAGAACTTCCCTGGCAGAGGCTATATACGCGTGGCCATGTGAGAGCATTTGGAGAGGGAGAGTGGACTCTCCCCACTTTCGGCCGTACCAGGGCATTGGGGGGCAATTTATTTGTATATAACAATGTGAACATGTAAAGAAATGCATAAAGTACTATACTAAAAAAACTCAAACAGTATAAAACTTTACATAATGTTACATTGATTATTGTCATACTTCTGATTCAATCAATCAATCACTGTTACCATGAGATGACAATACGAGTGTATATTAGTTAAAGTTTATAACACTTTACATGATTACAGTCAGATGAAATCACCTAGAATGATGGAAAGTATGAATCGGGAAAATAATAGCGAAAGCAATGAAAATTTAAACATGCAAAGAATTTAGTCGTTATCAAATGATTGAAAGTTAGGGATAATATTTGATTCAAGATTTCATAGAGGCATATAGAGAATAAATGTATCTTCAGAGCTTCTTAGCTTTTAATTAGACACGTATGCTTTTGATAAAAGATAAGACAATACTGATTGAGTAGGTTTTTAATGTTCATTATTAAGCTCAAGTGTTAACAGGATTTTCAAGTCATTTCAGTGCAATTAATGTACACTTTGTAAGGTGCTTTATAAAACCAGTTAACAACACTGTCTATTAAGTTAATCAAAGAGCTTAATAAATCTATCCATTTAATTCATTTAAACACATAAAAATTGGTATAAGGAGGCAGCAAATATATATGCGCCACACAAATCAAATGATTTGTGTCGACTGGAATATGGCACAGGCGCCCAAACTGAAGTAGTTAATTTTATAGAGGACCATACCCGAACCCTTTGACTTAAGGGTCTAATTCACAAGGCAGTGGAGCAATGTGAGGAGATACAGTTTCATGGCAGCCGATGACCAACAATGGGTCCATACGCTTTTTGTCCCTTCAGGATCCCGGAGCCCACATGCACCCTTAGTTCGAAATCAGGGTTTTCCAACTCCCCTAAGTGGATCCTCCGTATCAACCAACCCGGTTAAGGCTGCGGACATTTGCATTTCGCTCTCTGAACTCCGTAAACGACACTCCAGCTTCGAAAAGTCAATGAGTAGGACTTCTCTGACAGTGACTGTATACGCGTCGCCATGTGAGAGCATTTGGAGAGGGAGAGCGAACTCTCCCCACCCTCTGTCATACCAGGAGATTTGGGGGCGTTCTTCGATTTGTGATTGATATTATTATTGGTAAGTCCTATAAGCTCGAAGGCAGTATATTCTAAGTTACTTTCAACTACATCATATGCGTACACTCGGTTTCCTTTTTTACATTCTAGAGAAGCTTGGCTAGGAGTTCTGGTAACAGATTCTTGTACAGTTAAATTGTACGACACATACCCTATGTTTTGTCAGTCTATAGAAGAACCTGAACAGATTCCGCTAGAAAGATTACTATTTCGTAAGTATCTTCTTTTCTTCCTTAGATTTCTACGGAATATTGAATATTATCATCCTCCACTCACATATAAATAGTTTATGTATTTAATTCTTTTATATTGTTTGATTGGATCTTCCTATTTATGTTTAGGATTACAATTGATCAGTGTCTTATTGGCATATGTGCATCCTGTACGGATTGCCTCGATATTGCCTCAAGTCACAAGCATTACAAGGAAAGGAGGTTGGTGGCTAGCAAAAGCTAGTGACTATCAGGGCTCAGTAGCTAAGTGGATAACTCGAGGGCGTTTGAAGCGAACGGTACTGGGTTCGAGTTCCGGAGTGAACATCAACCCTGGGACGCAAGTATATGCAGCTGAAGAGTCCCAAATAAGACGAGACGTGCGTCCCGTATTCCACTACTAGCCACCATCTTAGTTCATGTATTTGTTTTATTTCATCAAACTCAAAGTGATTCAGCACTGGTAAAATATTCATTTTAGTACTTTGATATCTACAATTCATGTGTTTACATCGTTTTTTTCTGACCATGAATACAAATGAATGATATGCTTCTATTAAGAGGTTATTTTGATGTTCTTCAAATATATGTGTTTCACAATGAAAAAACAGAAAGCCGTATAAACGTTATATGGTGATAGGTCAAAGGACGAGTAAAACAAACCATACAAATGCACATTGTTGATTAGGATTATTCATTGATCAAATTCAGATATTTTCAACCAACAGAGAGGTGTTTCTCATCATTGATAGGTTATGGTTTTATTATATAGCCACTGGTTCTATTACTTACTAGTAATTATTTAAGCGAATCAGTCAGTAGTTTCTCTGCTCTCATATTCATGTCCTTAACGTTGCTGAGTTTTTGAAATTTAATCGAATCATTCAAAATTGACTACATTTTATCGATGTAATCTGTTTTGTTCATTAGAACTAGTTCTCATCCTTTGTCCGGCTTGCTTATGATCAGTGTGTTGTCTTCTCTAAGCTTATGTAAAGCATCTCAGTTTTGTTTGGTAAGCGGAAATTTCATGGTATATTCATCATTCTTGTATTGTTGGCAACTGTCAACCGACGTGGTTTTAAACCTAGTAAGTTCCTCGACTGACTTCAAGGTAAAGTTTGTTGTTTGTGAAAATAAATTTTCAAACTTCACGTCCACATTTAGTTGATGCCCGTGGTAACAGAATTTAGTGTCATTCAATAAAGCCTCCAATTGCACCATATCCGATCTAACACTGAGGAAAGTTTGGACATACCGTTTTGGGTTATTAGGGAACTTCCTTTCTGGTTTTTGATGTTCAAACGATTTCACTAATCCTATCTCTAATGTCTGGAATCTACTTTGGCTAATATGTCGACATTGTCTATAAATTGTGATTTTGTTTCCTATGGTAATTTATCGACAGTAGATTTTCTCCATAAAAGATTTCTTTCCTAATAGACAATGCACAGTTTTTTAGGCCTTTTTTAAAAATTCATATTCATCCTTTAGCGTCCAGTCGATCAAATGTTAACCTGGTGGCATTCAGTTGGCATCCATCAAATGTAAACTGTCTACTAACTTTGAATCGTGATGGTTGTTTAAATGTAGCTCAACTTGTTGAACGTCCAGCCATTGTAAGTATTTTGTCGTGTAAACAGCTATCATTCAGTTATTTTCATACATTTTTTATTGTGCCTTAAATCTAAAGTCTATAGCATTATTTCATTGCTTTGTATAAACAACATTTGTTTTACCTTAGCGATTTTCTTATATTCATCATATCTTCCCCAGTAATTTGGCTTAACAATCAAAGCTTAACTGATTAGAAAGTAAGTATGACCTATAAATTGATTTTTTCCAATCACTTATCATAATTGTACAAAATACTTTGTATGTAATCATATTATTAGAGAAAAATCTATTCTTTTGACTAGTGGGATTATTATTATATTGGAGAGTCATCCCGCCAAAGAACATATTAGGTACACAAAGAAACCTCCTAACAATCCCGTAGAGTTGAACCAACTTCAAATTAAATCGGCAATAGCAGTTCATGCCATTTTCAACAACCACCAAATCGATTTTAAAAATATCAAAATATTGCAAAAAGGCTTTTCCAACTACAAAGAAAGGAGGGTAGCTGAGGCGTTCCATATAATGCTTAATCCTACTTCTCTCAATAGAAAGGAAGGTCTTACCATACATCCTACTTGGACCATCTATCCTAACCATTCAGTCTGATCGTATTTACAATTTCACACTATCATATTACAAATTTAAACTCTATCCTTTTTTACCATATAGGTCACACAGTTTTCTTTCCTAAACAATGCACACATACATACATACACAAATTTACATACTTATCACTTATGAATCACCTTGACAGAAATGACATGACATCAACTTCTTCAGACCTGTTTTTTGATTGATCAAATATTATTCTTGCATTGTTCCGTTGTACTATTTAAACTTGGATTAATTTAATTTGGTTATTTATTCTCTGAAGAAGTGACTTACACTAAGCCACGAAACGTCAGAAAAATCCAATTTTCTACTCATTGGGATATTACAAATATATTATTTTTATTTATAACAATCAACCCAATGCTCAATTTATTCGAAATTATCAAATCAAACCTTGGTAATGACACCTATTATTATCACCATTACTATTGTGATTATTATTATTATTATTATTGCAACCTATTCAGGGCCGTCCTTCAACAAATCGGTTCTGTGTACAGCTATCATTTATCTACACATCAATCAATCAAACTGTGTCAACATTCTACTTATTGGTTTTAACAATGGATAATTCGTTTAGTAAAATCACATTAACATTGTGATTTATAATAGTTTAGATCTGTACCATCATTAAAATACTTATTTTGACTTGTTTATTTTTATTTAGTGAATTTCTAATTCTCAGAAGGGGTTTGTGAAGATTTTGGTCTAGTTGGTTAAGCGCCTGGCGCGAGACTGATAGGTCCTGGGTTCGAATCTCGCGGGGTGCGGGATCGTGGATGCTCACTGCTGAGGAGTCTCATACTAGAACGAAACGGCCGTCCAGGGTTTCCAGGTTTTCCATGATGGTCTAGCTTCAATTAACTCATGATTTCAATCAGTGAAATTTCTATTTCATTGTGTACTGATACTAATCATGATACCACGTTTCTATTTCGAGTTCAGATTGATTTTGTATTTCCCTGTTTTAATTAAACATTGGATTTCGAAATAGTTTTTTTTTTCATTTTGCCCATTTCACTATGAGTATTGTTTAGTAAATCATTGTTTCATATGCTATACATCGTAATTATTTTCTTTTTGTTTATATTGTGTTTGGTATTTTTTGTTGTTGTTGCAATAATAGGGATGGTCAGCTAATCAAACGTTAGTATGGTCATATACTCGTGATTGGACTGCATTCAATTTAACAGGAATTGTTAGCAGTAATCTACAAACACTAATGGAATTTTTACATGCAGTTAATGAAAACAAACAATCAGAGAATTCTATTAATAATAGTAATACTACATATAGTCTCTCAAATGCACAATATCTTGCAAATTGTCAGAATATTAAAACAAAGATTATCATAACGATAATATTAATGGTAATAAGTATTGCCATGAAAAACAAACAGCACTTCTTGTTCACTTGAAGCGTTGCATGGAGTTGGATATTGCAGTCGTTATGCGAAAACGTGCTGAACTAGGTTATGGACTCGATGTGAGTTTTGTTAATTTTTTTCACCATTGTATATCTTTAAATAATAACGTTTTCTTTTCTGTACTTATTGAACTTATTGTTTTGAGATTCGTGAACTTAAATGCTTGGTACTGGTAGAATTTATGAGAGGATTGAAGGACAAGAAGTGTGGATTAATAGTGCAAATACAAAAAATATTAGGTAATAAATATGGAATTTCGTTGTGAACCAGGTAATCTCTAGTGTTGCTTGTGGTATAATGGGGATTTTCACTCTTCGCTTCTCCACACTGTGGAAGGATACTTCTCCATAAAGTACCTAAAAAGGATACTGGGTTATAATTGTTGTGTATCCATTTCAAGAGTGTAATTATGGAGCCTAATGAGCAACTGCTTTTGGCCGGCCATACACGGACTTCAGTTCAGTCTTTCTTAAATATGTTAGCTCCGTAATTTAGAGGCCTGGCAGCGTCTGACGGGTGAAGTGTACTATTTTCAGGGCAAACTTTCTCTAAATGCTCCTTCAGTTGTAAGAAGGCAGCATCGCCGAAGATGCTAGTTGTCTGATGGTAAAGCGTACTATCGTCATATTCAATGCAGTAGGCAGTACGACTGTCCTCGAACTATAAGTTCGCCGCTTTTGGCCTTACCGCTCTTTAACCAACTTGGTTGGCATGGTAGCACACAAAGGAACTAGTGTTCTGGCCGTTATAAATGGATGGATTGTCATGATATACGTACCTTGAATCCATTTTAGTGTAGCACCTACGGTCAAGATGTTTAACGTTGAACTTCATACACAGACATCATTTAAAAATAACTGACATTCCAATATTCACTATTCAGTTATTTTGTTATAATTGAAGATTATTCAGCACTGTCAACCTCCAACTTTGTATCTCATCAATTCAGGAACTTTTTGGACTTGTGAGTATCACGTTTATTTTAAATCAACAAAGGTTAATATAAGCGTTGAACATTTTTCAAACTCAAACGTAACTAGATTGGTGATAAATAGCTGAACGTTGTTTTAGGTGATAAGATGCCGAGTTTCTGCTAATGTGATATTCATTATGCATAAACTTTGTTATTATCCACATCGTTGATTGGATGACACAAAAAGAAGAACATGTTAATCCAGAGTATCCGGCATACTTTCATTTCACCTCTTACTTAATCTTAACTTTATGAGCTGATACTATCATAGTCAACAGTGAGATGAACAGTAAAGTAGTGACCTTACAGAATCGTAATCGGACTAAAGTTGAAATATATTTCTTACTAGATTTTAGCTTATTACCGCAGCTACATTAGATAGAGTAAAAGTATTTTCAATATCTTAACTCTGTGCAATAATAATAAGTTTTCTTACCCATCCTTTTCTACAGATTACGGGTGCCACTTATGTTGAGATTGTCAAAGACGATGTACAACTTCGAACAATGTGGACATGGATAAAATGTAAGTTTAGTTTAGTTTATTATCGAATGTCAACGAACTTAAATGCGACCCTTAAAACGACATTAAGAAATTCTCAATTCTACTCAGCCAGTCAGAAGCAGTAATTATGAATGAATGATTTTATGAAAGAATTTATAAAGTACAGTTTGCTTATACCTGATTAATGAACTTTTCTGAGTTGTTTACGGTCTCTTAACCGTTAAGGTTTCTGGGGTTCGAATAAGGATTTATGTTTAGTCAAGTTATTGTTAACCTGTACCTCCCAACCTTAACTTTTAATAATAAATACCATATTTATCAATAAAATTAACCATCCTATGGTCTGAGGTTATTGACTACTTTTTCAGTGTTCAATAAGTGGTTTATATCTAGAACTTTCGATCATGTTATTATCTATTTTGTGAATGAGTTGTGTATATTGAGTTTTTATTTATCTGAAAAGATTTCATTTCAAGTATCTGGAAATATCCATAGCTGTCTATTATGAATAAATCAATGTGGTACAACTTAATGTATTGGATGATAAGATATAAATCGAAAGTTTAGGGTTAAAGTGAATTCTCAAATGAAAATCACACTGTAATATTCAACAATTTCACTAAACAAACGGAAAAATGATCGAAAGTACTTGATACAACCCAATCTTATTAAACATTAAAAACGTTGTACATAACTTTATGCATACATGATCATCATCGTGTTTCAATATTATATGTCATGACCTTGGCAAGTGTCTTACTCTTTGTTGAATGATTTATCAGTTTAGTTTAGTTAAATCACAGGTTTTTTCTCAATACTGTATTTTAGCTCAAAATATCAAATCACAATGTAACCTGCTTTTACAGTGCTAATTAATAATCTACTGTATTTAATTCGAATTAAAAAGTTCTATCCAATTTAGAAATAAGTGGATAGTGTTAGTAAATTCAATTCATTTTTAAAAGTTTTGATGTATATGCATCGTAAGCAGATTTCCTGTATATTATTATTGAGTTTCAAGCATTTTAAAGCAAGTTTTTAAGTATCTAGTAGTGGAACTGAGGACTTACTCTTCATCTTATTTAGAACTCTTCAGCTGGATTTACCTGCATTCCAGTGTCAATGATTACACGGGGATAAAAAAAGACTAATCGATCGCAGTCCTTAACCTCAATAATAGGGAAGCATAGACCCGTACAAATGAATTGAAATCCATCCCGGTTGTACAAGCCAGTGGTTAAGTGTATAATACTTTGAGGGAATACTTTGGAAATAAACACGACTTCTGGATCCCGTTATTAATCACTGTTAAACTTCGCATAAGAATCAGTAAATTTAGTCTAAAAAATCATAGTATATATATCGCTCTAAACCTACTTATTTCTGTATATGATTTGGGAATGAGATACCAGACGAAATGTTATAACTTGTGACCGCCGAATAATGTGCAATGAATTATCGATCGGATCAAAGACACGTAAAACACGTGCGAGCAGCCTAGGGTCCTGATTGCCCGTGCTTTCCGCCTAGCCCAGCCAGTTAAGTTTAAAACACAAGTCTCAGCCTCTGCAATATGAATCATGTAATTCAAACATACTCTGTTTATATACCAATCAAACAGATCACAACGTATCAATAAAATATGAAACAACATTTGTACAAGAATTAGCCAGATGTGGCAGTGAATGAAGGAGGTAGTAATTAATATACTGGGTATAACTCAAGAATGGTAAAAAGTATAATAATTGTTTATGAGTCAAAATAAAGCTTATAATAAGAGGAATATGAATATGCATAGTTTAGTTACTTAATAATTATACAATAGAAATGTACGTTTAGTATTGGTCCATCAATAGATCCCAAAGTTACCGTTCATTATGTTTCTCGGGTCCTAACACGAAAATAATCTGAGATTTGACATAGTTATAAATATCTTTTCAGCCGATATACTTTTTATCATGAACTGATTCAATCATAAAATATCACAGCGGGTCGGAGGAAATCAAGTTTCCAGGTTACTCACTGTCTATTCATTTAAGATCCGACTGTTGATTCTAATTCTTTCTCAGATGGAACTACTACATATTAACGGCCTTAAAAAAAACAGAAACGACTATAATGAGTTAAAGTGATATTTTCAAATACAATTCGGATAAGCTGCTACTGGAAATCATGTTTTACACTGAATTTGGTATCTTGACTAATTCAAATGATAATATACTTGTTGATCACTTATAGAGCTTCGGACTATCAAGTACTAGCATCTTATTTAACCGTTGTTACCGAATGACATCTATCATAGGTATGTAGTTTATGGAAGAGGTTGTTTACTGTTCGCTTCATGTTGGGTAAAAAAAGTCTTCTGGAAGTGCCACTTTTTGGTAAAATCAAAGCTAAGAATACAACAGACCGTGGTTTTAATGATTGAACGGATTATATGAACACAAATCACCACTGCTACAGTCACTCACGCAATATGAATCCTGATTTTTATTGTTAAAATATTAGGATGAGGCCCTAACACTTTTAAACCTGTATATTCTCTGTGATTTTATCTTTCTTGTGGTACAAGGCTCATTTACAACAGATGCAACCTAAGTAGCCAATCCCAAAGTCACTCTTAGAATTATTCTGAGCCGTATGGTTTAATTCTGTCTAATCTGAGGCTCAGTAGTTGTCTAAGAACTAACTTTAACCATTATTACTTTTGGCATCCTCAAATACCAATTTATCAACCAAGATTTCGACAAATATCTAAGAGGAATGAACACTCATATTAACACATATATTTGATTGTTAGTCTGGTCAGATCTATACGATATTGAAATGTTTTTTTGCATCGTTTGTCGTTCAATATGTTTCTCTCAGAGATTTTTCTACTTTCTGTTTATCTTTTTTCTAGACATTAACGATTACATGGAAGATCCATTGATTCGACGGCATTGTAAGTTATTTCCTTCAGTTCGTCATATATTTCATGTCTAGTTGAAGTTGCGAATCAAATTTATGGATTAACTTGTTAATTCTAGTTAGATATTGTCCGTTATTTTTCTTACAATGCTAAAACGATGTGATTCATCACGTCCAAATTAAAGCTGATTTAAATCAGTGGAATGATGACTGTTTAGTTAAAATATTCGGCTTTTAGCTACTTAGTAACAAGTCCGGACGTCACTCCACTTACTTTGATTTAGGGGACCGAATAAACTTCATACTTAATGTGTAATCCAAAGTCATGTACATGAATCTGCACCTAGTAAATAAGATAATAACAGGAACAACACAAACTATTCAATACATTAGTAATGTTTCGTCTCTTTGTGATAATTGCCAGTTGTACACCATCTGATTTATAAGTTAGTTAACTGTAGAGTATCAGTTCACTACTAAATGTAACGTATTATTACTGTTTAAAATAACGGTTTCCATAAAATTTCTGGCTTTTCCTGTCGGCTTTTTTATTCCAGTGGATGTGGATTCATCACAGTCAAACTATACATCAAATCAGAGAAATAGTAGTGATAACATTCCTTCGAAACGTCGTGTACCTTTCAGAGGTTCAGGTGTGATTTCACTTTTATGCGACAATTTGTCATCATCTGGTACTAAATTAACAAGTGAAGTTTTAATGCATGTTGAATGGCAAGGAATAGATGTGAAATTACCATTTTCGCGATATCGGAGTCCCGAACGGTATTATGGATAAAAATACACATATATTTTTGTGCTTTTCTTTTTAAAAATAGTCTCTTAATGCTTCTAGTAAATTAAGTTGAATCCAATTTTTTGATTTATGAAAACATTTTCCTTATGATTTTTATGTTTATTAGCATGAAATTTTTATTGGGATTATCGAATATCATTGATAAAAGCAAAAAACATTAGGTAAATATTTCGTCCTAGTATAAGATTCCTCGTAGTTGAATATACACGATCCTGTTGCAAGTCAAGCCCGCAGATCTCATTGTGAGCGCTTAACTTTTAGATTACTTAGCAAGCATCCAATGGTTTACATGTCTAATTTTAATCCATTCGTGATGTTGTATGATCATCTTTGATTGTCTTCAGTAGGTTACTGCCTCATTTTCGACACGGTTGAACTGTACAAGTTGCAGCCTCCCATTACTAGTTCGGGAATTTCCTCTCGAAACTAGTCACTAATGATCGGTTACTCACTGAGAACAATGGAAAATAGTTGTGCAGCATCGCGAATTGATTGAAGCTAGATTTGTTAATCGTTGGATCTCAACACAGTGGTCTAAAGGTCAAGTGTCCGCCGTGAAACCCAAAAGATTCTGGGTTCGGTCGCTGTTGGTGTCGTAGACCCTCACCACTGAGAAGTCATATATTGTCCTTTTTGAATGATTTACTTTATGTCAAGTTTCTACTGTCATCCACACTATTCGAGTGACATTCTTTCGATTTTTAACTTGTTTATTTGTCATTATATTTTATTTGGATTTTGATAGCTTAGGGCCAATGAATATCTATGTTAGTTTCTACATTGTTAATGACTAAATGATTTTGTAGCAGTGTTTCGTGATGTTGGTTATATTCAGAAACTCAGAAGTAATAGTCAAACCAAACAGTTATTAGTTGACAACTACAAAAGCATACAACTTACTTCAAAATTGTACTGAATCATATGATAAAAATTCATGACATCGTAGACGAGGGACATTAACAGAAATGGAACGGTTCATTCATAGCTCAGTAAAACACAATTAAAAGAGTCAAGTTAACGAAACGCATTCTTTAAGATTCAGGGGAAAAAATTAAATTGGATATAGCTGCATCGTTGGGATTGGCTATAGGATATACCATTAGAAGTGTTTAATCAATTATTCTTATCGACTCAATAAACTTGATACCACTCACTTAGTCTTACTTTCTGTATAAATTAAGCACGGATTTGTTTACCCTGCTTTGAACCATTATTATTTGTATACCTTAGTAATATTACCAATTTAAGTGGTAGTGGGTTTTATAACCAGCCAACTTTTTAAACTGATTGGAAAGACATGTTAAGAAGTCAAATCTTCGGAAAACCTATCTCTCAAAGGAGAGGAAACAAAACCTACCTTCAAATAAGGTAACTGAGACAATGAGAGGTACAATTCCTCCATCCCCATACTTACTCTTTATTTTCTCACGAACAGTCTGGATAAGAAATGAAAATCGTGACTCAAATGTTCAGTATGGCTGAAGAGGTTATAGTTTAAAGTCAGTGAAATAAGTTGTTCCCAGAGATCCTTAAAGACAGTGGACAAGTTTTAATAACTAGACTGATTGAGGTCTGGTTGGTAGATGTAATCTCGTAAAACTGGTCACTCACTAATTGTGTCAGTTTATAAAAAAGAACAAACTCTCGTGAAAAATACATAAAAATTAGCCTGACTAGTAATGTTTAAAATACCACTACCCATAGTCACCTGATGAGTGGTTAGAACTCAGAATAGCCAAACTCACGAAAGTCTGACTGATTTCAGACGTGGACATTGATATGTAGATCAAATACGTACTCTTCATCAGATTTTGAAACATCAATTTACTTACAACTTGAACCGATTCACATTTGTTTCAGGTCGCATGTTAATGCTGACAGCCTAGATTCAAGTGTATAACCCACAGGTTGAAGTTGCATGTCTAAACTGACAAAAATATCTCATTTCATGATTAGCGCAGATTTGTGTCACGTACACAGAACTTTCTTCACTGAATTTATTTATCTGAGATTCAATTGGGTTATGTACTATGTCCTTTGCGTTTTTATCATTTTAATGTAAAAGTTGTTTTTAATAAACACCATTCTTTTTGTCTCTTACTTCTCTCTTTTTCAATTTACGTATTCTCGAAATCGCGATTCGATTTTCTTTTTTATAGATCACGTGTTTTACGTTTTTGTATGTGGCCACTTGATGATACAGACGTTGTTCAGCGTCCTGTATTCGAAAGGTTAGTCTCTCATATTGTTCTATATTTCCGTGTTGGAGTTTATTTTGTTTTTCGCTATGATATTCACATTCTTTTTTCTTCAGTTTATGCTCTGAAGGACAATATGAACGAGCAGCTGCAATGGCTTTAATTAATTTGAAATTTGATTGGGCGTTAAGTTTTCTAAATCGAGCTTCATCAGGTAAATTTCATCCTTTTATTTTTGGTTATAACATATAAACTATTTTGATAGTGTAAACATCATAAACCTTCATGATTGTTAGTACTCTGTAGGTATTTCAATAGCTCATAGTTAGGTTTATTTTGGACAATAAACTGCCATAGAGAATCACTGTTTATTTGTTTGTTTTCATTTGTCATACGAAATACATTTCGCTTGATTGACAGTTTTACATTCTACAACTTCAACGCATTAACTTTCTGCTTAAATTAAAAAATGGGATCAAAATAGGTACTGTTTATGTTCGTGTGTGTGTATGTACGAAAGATATTTACAAATTCACTGCAGTAACATTTTATACCACTATGAAGATTTTAATGAACCTGAATTTCGATAGATGCCTTTTTGATAGAATCTAAAATGATAATAAGACAACATAGTACATTGAGTAATAATAATAAAAACTACCTTTTCTTCAATAATAACAAACATATCTCTCATGTTTCATTGAAATCATGAACCGATCGAGATTAGATAACCATTGAAAACCTGGAAGCACTGGATGACCGTTCCGTCCTAGTATGAGACTTCTAAAGATTGTGAATACACGATCCCACATCCAAGAATCAAACTCAGAACCTTAGGTCTCGCTCGCGAACGCTCAACCTCTTAACTACATTTCTCATATAATGGATCTTCTAATTAAAGTACACTTCCAAAATAAGATTTACAATAACATGTTTCTGTCAAAAATATTTCAGATTATCTAGTTTTTTGTCAATAATTGTTAGTTCTTTAGAGGAAGGATAATAGCAACAACATTTTTCCAATTCACATTTCCTCTATGACTTTCGCTATTACTTGATTGGTTGTTTAATCATATTAATTATTGTTAATTTGTTGTGGACCAGTCTTACTGTCTATCGAGTTCGTATTAGAGGAATCGTAATCTTTCGTCATTGGAAATAACTGCAGTTGGTCTTAAAACTTAACAACGTCACTGTTTGAATTTTGGTATTCAGCGAAATACAAACAACTAAATTCAAATTTGTTTAGTTATTGACTGAATACATGGAGTGATATTTGTCTGTTTAGCAAGCCGCAAAATGGCTTTTTTAGAAACGCTCCTCAATCGTGAGAGGAGGTTTTGCTCGAAAGTACTTGTGAAGGTATGGACCGTAGTTAAAAGTTGGCTGAGAGCGATACTGGTTATTCACAGATTAACTAGTGTAGAAAATGAGATTTATGAGAACGGTATGGTTCACAGTCAACAGGGTACTTGTTTCTCTATAATGTGGATTCAAGAGTATGGATAGTGTTGGGATGATTGATTTTCCGCTAATGGCTGCACTAAAGTTAGCATATCAGTCGCCAATATGATTTCTTTATATAAAAGATAGCTCCTTGAGAAAATCGTAAGTTTTATCTTGCTGTCTAGCTGGACTTAGTTATCTTTCATATCTGCGGAATGTGGTGACTATCACATTAGTCTTACATGTATACAAATAACTTTTAAAGAAAGTCTAAATATACTTGGGCCATAGTTAGTAAAGGTTTAAGTTATCTCATTGATCTTCAAGATTGAGTTTTGATCAGTTTCATTGGCTATCTGAATTCACTAGCTCAGTGGATAACGCGTTGGGCTTTTAAAGCAAAAGAGACTAGGTTCAACTCTCAATGTATATATTAACACTGTATTGTGTTGGTGTATTCAATCGATTAGTCCGAAATGGGATTCATCTACTATAATTAGAATTGGAACAGATTTTCGACTATAATTTGACATATCTCTCTCTTTATGATGATAGTCTGTTTACTCTAGTCCTTGTTTTACATTGCTCATACAATAATATGTGCTAATTTCTTTTCTTTGTCGGTCAATCAATAATAAAGATGCCGATATCGATCTAGTCGCATTGGCTTTAGCTGGTTACACAGATACAAGAAATGAATTATGGCGAACAACATGTGCCAACTTAATAAAACACTTGCAAAACCCTTACTTACGTGTTATGTTTGTATTCTTAAGTCGACAAGGTGGTGATTTTCAATCAATATTGGTATGTTTTCCTTTTGTAGTGTGTGCTACCATTCTTTGTTTTTACCATTTTTTTGTAGTCTGTAGTCCTAGTGTCCGATCTGTGTTTTTAGAGGGACATCTGTAACACATTGTTGTACACCTTTAATTTCGTCTTTATGAAATTCTGTCATTCCAGAGTAAGAGATCAGGTAATAGACAGTTACGGCCTCTAGATATAGTTGCATTTCATGTGTACAATACAAAATCGTAGGTATTCTACCGTATTATGCTGACTATCTTATAATTTATGTATAAAGAAAGATAAGAAACATTACTTACTATTATTACTGCCATTATTATTCCATATTTTGAACTCTCGTTTATATGAATACGATAATACTTGTCGGACATTCTAATTATATTACTAGAACTATTCTGTTTTGATATATTTTCTGTTTGAACTCTTGCTACTGACTGGCTGGCCGCTTTCTATATTCCCGGACTACTCCTGCGCTTGAACCATATTGTATAGAAAAGGCGCAACGTGGGGATCCGGCTTTACTTCATGGTTAAGTTATAGGGTTACAAATGACCTCGATCTTCTATATGCTTGTGGAAATAAACCAAATTTGGTAACTGCTGGGATTTTCTAAGTATTCGGAGAAGTCCATGGTGGTCTAGAAAACACTGGGAACCATTCTACTCAATCGGCGTGTAATAGAAACGTCTTAGAAACAACTAGAAATTGAAGAGTTACATGTCACGTTTCTGATTAGATTTTTATGCATGGTGCCACCATATTTAGTATGTTCCAGAGGCCCAAGGTTGTCTGTAATACTATAAATACCCTCGTTTTTCTCTACATAAATTAACCTTGAAGTAAAGTGTTCTTTTGGTACTTCTCTCTTTTTCTCTTGTGTTCAAGTTGTACAGATTTAGTCTGGGATTATTAGAAGCAGCTAGTAAATCGGATCGAGTGTTGAGTGAAAAGATTTATCAGTAACGAAACAAGTCGTTATCCATCCAAAATGTGACTGCACTCTATCATCCAACTGACGCGTCCCAAAGTGGATGGAACGCGCATCCTGGGTTCCACAGCTAGTCACCGTCCAATTCTGCTTATAACTCTTTTGACTTAATCAAAATATCGAGTCAATCCTCCTAAGTTTGCATATATTCCTAAAGAGACTGGTTAATTACAATTTTAGACATCAATAGGAAGATTCAAACAATCAATACAAATGAAACTTGAGGATCTAATTAGGTATATTACCGAAAGACATGAGTAATTAAGAATATCATGCACTGATTTATGTTTGTGATATTTAACTAATACTGTTAATATGTTTATAACAAAGAATGCAATCGGTAGTTGAATTTTTATTGATAATATTTACGGATGATTGATTATCATGTCTAAGAACCGTCGTGTAAACATTTTCCAATTTAAATGAGCTATCATTCTGTCTGTACCGCGAATTTCTGTCATCAACATTATGCGTGTTGAGTACGAATACAAATTAACTTTTTGGGTTTTTTTTTGTTTCTCTGTAGAATGACGATGCCCTATGTCTTATAGACCGAGTCGCATGTGCCTGTTTATATCTAAACGATGATGATGTAAGTCCAATCTCCATAACGAATATTATTGTTTTCACTGTGTTCACTAAAAGAATATTTCAAATTTCTTCCTGTAAATGTAAAATGTTGCTTCAGGAGTGCTTTGTGTCAACGCCTAAACTAATGATGGAGAATGAAATAACTATGCACATCGATCGCTTCACTTACCTTGAATGTTTCACCAGCCTTGGTTGGTTGATGTTTGGAGAAATCTCTTCACGGATTCAAAAAACTGACTTAATTTTCGTCAGTTCGCATCACCTGTACCGTAGGCGACATGTTCATCTAATTGCTAACCGAGGAGCACGTATATCATACAACAATTTGCTATGTTTTACTGTTTGTCTGTCAAAATACAGAATATTCGAGGGTTATTGGTATTTGGTTTTATATGTCACTGAAGCATTGTTCGAATGTGTTGGGCCAAAGGACTAAGTAGATTAGATAAAAAGGACTAGACAGAGACGGTAAATCGATCGATAAGCCAGTAAATATTCACTGACTAAAGTGATTGAAATATGTATTGCATGTATCCAAACATCGCCTACCTCGATGCACGTTGTCTACTGTTATAGGTGTAAGTTGGAGAAAATCTGTAGGCTGTTGAAGAAACACTTCTAAACAACATGTCTAAGAAGTCGTTGAATTTTGTACTGAGCCGTATAGGCAGAAACAGACTATTTATTTGTGGTTGATGTGATTATCATAACCAATGGTTAGCATCTTCGGGTGATATAGCTCAAATCAATCGCTATGGCTGGATCTATTCACTCTTGGTCGTCCTGTATATTTCGAGATATAGAATTATTTTATGTCATTTATTCTTCGAATTCACAATTCTCGAATTTTATTGTCTCTGTTTAATCCTTTCTACTACGACTGATACTGTTACTACTACTACTTCTATGACATTTGTATTGATAATGTTATGGTATGGTAACTTGAACGAATACATATATATTTTTTATATCTGTTCAATACCTTAATCATTGTTCCATCTCTAGGGTAATGTTGATTAACATAATTTGCAAATTTTTTATCATGCCTTCCCTGTCGATTCATCAAAAGATTTAACCTGCAATCAGGATAGCATTTACTTATTTCCACTGTTGATTAAATAAGTCGTATAAGTAAGAAACCCCTTATGTATACATTTTCCGACTAATCAGTTTATAGTTCTTTATATACATAGAAATTGATTAACACTAGAAAGTACTTGACATACATAACATTGGTCACTAATTAGTGATCAACCAAATGTAAGTACATCTCAATCCTACAGAACGTTAGTCGCCACCTGAATAGCTCAGCAAAAACGTTTCTGACTGTGAAGCTGATTGGAAGTGTATCAAATCTGTCTGGGAGAATCAGTTCATGAAAAATCACAAGTATACCTTTCTGACGAGTGCCAAATGGTACGAAACCTAGATCCATGGTATCTAGTTATCTACTCCCAACCAGACTACTTACGATCTCAGTATAGTACATCCGTTGTCAAGTCAATTAGACTAGTGGCTATGCCGTAACTTGGTCGATAGAGTTTGGTCAACACTAAGAAGGATTTGAAGTATATGACATTGATCGCTACACATTTAAGCCATAGATACGTCTTATGTCTATGGTTTTCTTCAGTGAAAAAGTTAAACATATTTCGACCTGATTGTGAAAAAGCTTTTACACATAAAAATTATCATGCTTTTCACTTTCCTCTCTAATTTATTAATAACACTTTTTTTAATCTTTCGTTTGATGAACATGCACACACCTAGCTTCTTGTCTTCTTACGTTCAACTTGTAATTCTATGGTTCAACGTGGACAGTTAGAGTCGATTCTACTAACTGGTCTCTGTTCAAATGATTTTATTAACCTAATACAAAATTATGTTGATACAACTGGTGATGTTCAATCGGCTGCAATTGTTGGTTTACACGCTTGTCAGTTATCATTAAATGATAACTATTCAATGGTAAACAACGAAAAACGAACTGATATGAACGATAATAATAATGTGAATAATTCACGTCATGTACAAATTGTGTTAAATGGTGTACGGTCATCAACTGTTGATAAGAAATTGTCCATACCTTTAGGAGGAGGAGGATATGCAGGCCGTGGCTATTCGTCTGGAGCGGGTACTAGTGATCAACAACCTATGATTATTAAACTTGGTGGGCTTAAAATAGCTAATTGGGTTCAATGGTAAGTGTCGAGTTATGAGAAACGCTGGGAAAAGTATGAATAACACTGATTGCTACTCACTTAATGCTTTTATGTCATTCTATAATAATAATAATTTAATTTGTAGTGATTTGGATTATCCCAAAATGAACATCAACTCTGGGATGCAAATACATCCAGCTGACGAGTTCTAAACGGTACGAAATGTGTGCTCTGGATTCCAGTGCTAGCTAAATTCCATCTATTCTACATAATATTTACAACAATAATGAATGTTCGTTTACAATGTTACTAGTTGTCTAGAATTTAGACTATTAAAAATGTTTGGATTTCAATTTTCGTGGATTATAAGTGTGAATTAGTCATTTTACAACTTTTCACAAATCTCAGTTTTTTTTAAGTAATAGGAATGCACTTTTAATAGGTATCATTACCAAATGCCCAGGTAAGGCCGAGGTTGGCGAGAGTCAGCTCTCCCCCTCGAAATGCTCTTGCATGGCCACGTGCATACAACCACTGCTAGGGAAGTCCCACTCACTGCCTTCTCGCGGCGGGGGTGTTGTTTACGAAATTGAGAGAACGAAAAGCGAATATTCAGAACTTTAACCGGGTTGGTGGTTATGGTGGATCCGGAAAATCCTGATTTCAAACCAATGGTGCACATAGGCTTCAGGATTCTGATGAACAAATGGTATTTTAACCCATTGTCGATCACCAGCTACTCTGGGACTACATTTTTTGACGTTGCTCCACTTCCTTGTAGATTAGACCTCTAGGTCAAAGGCTCGGGGTGTGGCCTCCTAAGAAAACCACCTGCTTCGGTTGGAGCACACAAATCAAACGACGAAATGTGGCTTCCTTGTGCCAATATTTATGTGTTCAAAGAAATAAGTAAATTCAGTTGTTTTTCCCATATTACCTTTCGTCCTCTTAAAACAAAAATAATTCAGTCATTATCTTACAAATAAGTATATTCATCGTTAAACAGTATGAAATGCACAAATTATTCATGCATAGCTGAGGCTAAATATTTTTAATTCAATTTTGTTATGATACTCAGACGAACAGTTATTATGATTCTAGATTAGTTAAACTGTTTATTTTTACTGTTCTCGCTCTCTCTAAAATTGTGATGCAATTAAAAGCCAAATTAGTGTGTTAACAATAATCAGCGTTGTTGTGACTAGTATTTATCGCCAAATAGTTTTTTCTTTGGTCGATCAAACAAGATCATATAAATAAAATGCGAAATCATTCAATTTATTCTAAATACTTATTCGTTACCATCCTATGATTTTTTATCAAAACTTAAATGAAATCAACCTGTGAAATAAAAGGGACCTACAAATCCAAATAAACCATAGTAGGTAGCTTAATAGTGACTTAATTCAAAATGTTTCTGAAATTCTAGTGAAAAATCATAGAAACAGTTGTTATGTTTCAGTTTTCGCTCCGACACTTAGCGGCGTTGTGAGCGCTCACTGCTGGATAGTTTTATGCTGGTACGAAACAGCTGTACAGTACTACCCCCCCCTCTTCGTTGATAACCCAACTCAAATCAATCAGTGACAGATACAGCCTACAAAGCTTAATTATTAACTAATTGTGTCATACCTTATTTGCATACAGCGATTTTTTGTTAGTCACTCAGTATATTTCTACTTGTCTGATTATTTTTCATGATTTTCTCACCTTAGCTACCGTGACCTATTAGATCAGTGGCAAATGTGGTTCTATCGAGCTGACTTTGATATCACATATAAATCACGTCTTTTATCCGATTATTTATATCCCAGCACTTCTCGAACTCAAATGTCTAGTTCATTGTTGATATCATCAAAAAGTGTTGAAGCGGATATGCCCACTACTAGTACTGTTTCTGGTACTGGTAGTAGTACTACTACCAATAGTATTGTTACTACTGTTTCTACAAACAACACTAATTCTTCATCATATAGTAGTAAAGTTCGAAATTTTGGATTTATCGCTGGTGCTAATCAAGTACGTTTCATAGTTTGTCTGCTTATTTTGAGCTTTTGATAATTGCCTTTGCATTGGTATATATATCACATTTCATCTTATCTAACTGCTTATAAAACGTGCAATATTTTAGTTTCGAAATTGCGAATGAAGTTTAAGTAGATTTTTATAAACATGCACCTAATCAAACATGTTAGTGTAATTTTGTAAAGATTAACAAATTCTAAATAAACCTCAAAAAAAGTGATTGAATATAATGGTTACACCTATTCTTATCACGTTGTTAATGAATTTTTATGGGATTTATTTGTGAAGGTTATTTTATTGATCTATTTTAACACATAGATATTGGTACACGGAGGCACCAAATACATATGCGCCACACATATCTCATTCGATATGTATGAGGGCTGTGATACTGCCCGGGTGCCCAAACCGAAGCAGGTGGTTTTCTTAGAGGACCACACCCCAAGCCTTCGACCTGAAGGTCTGATCCACAATGCAGTGGAGCAATGTAAGGAGATGCAGTCCCATGGTAGCCGATGACCAACAATTGGTTCATACGCCATTTGTTCCTTCAGGATACTGGAGCCCATGTGCACCATTGGTTTGGAATCAGGGTTTTCCAACTCACCTAAGTGGACTCTCCATGTCCACCAACCCGGTTAAAGCGCTGGACATTCGCTTTTCGTCCTCTCATTTTCGTAAACAAGACCCCGCCACGAGAAGGCAGTGAGTAGGACTTCCCTGGCAGAGGCTATATACGCGTGGCCATGTGAGAGCATTTCGAGAGGGAGAGCGAACTCTCCCCACTCTCGGCCATACCAGGGCATTTGGTGGTATTTGTGAAGGTAGCAAAAGACCTTATATCTTGGATTAGCTCATTCTATAATATACAACTGACTAATCATTGAGCGGTACAGTAAACAATGTAATGTTTATTTGATCCTTCTTAACGATGATCATACTCTGTTGGCTATATTTCAGTGTTGCTATCATTATTCTAACTAATTCAACATTTCGCGCACTGTATTTTAATATTAAATTGTTGGGTATAGTCGACAAGATTCCCTCCTCAACCTAGGTTTCTTGATAATTGGTAATGCTCATCAAAGCATATGTTTTCATTTTGTAATTTATAAAGGGCCTAGGGTCAATCATTGGTTCTTTAAGTTATGTTTGAAAGAAATAAGTATTTTATACATTTTCACTAACCTTGTCCCTTACTATATATATATATATATATATATATATATATATATATATATATATCAAATTTGCAAACAGACAATAGGAAGTCCATAGAGATTACATATATTAAGACTAAGCACTAAAGCTGTTATACAAAGAGTGAAAGCTACAGTCCTATCAATAATCAAGCTAGAGATTTGGATATTTTACGTAAGTGAGAAATGCGCATAAGGTAATTAGCAACATCTTTAAGGGCACCGCGTTTACTAGAAAGTACGAGTGAGAAGAGAAATTACCATTATTAGATGTACTAGTAAAAAAACAAACAAATAAAGTGAATTTAGAAAACACAGTTTACAAAAAGACGCACGAATCAAACCTGCAACAGTAACAACTCGGTAATATGTAAATGTAGTTGCGTAGAGACTACTCTAAGGAGTGAAAACTTACTGCTCTGGACTCTCACTACACAAAATACCTGGAATAAAGAAACTCACTTTCTGTTCATCCCCACAAAATTATCATTGTTGTAATCAAAAAGTGTCTAGCGAGTCCACACATTTACACAATTCCAGAATGCAAAGGACAAGTTATTTTATCATATATTTTAGAAATCATCACAAGGATTTTAAAGCCCTTTAGGATCAAAGTCTCTCATAAGGCAACATAATCAATTTATTCCATTTTATGATGACCATAAGATACGGCAGTAAAAGAAGACAACTATTATATGTTTAAAAAATAAATTACGACAAATATATTCGGCAAATTGGGTACTTCCTCGATGTACTCGTACACTAACACAAACAACATAATGTTATATCACTCGTATCACTGTACGCAAATAGCCATGGACATAATTTCGATTAGAAGAAAAAACGTCAAACTTTTTGATTTAGGAAATTCAAAGAATTTCAGAAAGCATATTATTTAAGTCAATCTGTAATCAACATGAATCCTATCTACGCCAAATGATTAACTAATCATATCGCCAGTAGTCAACAGTATAAAACACTCAATAGGAATAAAAAGACAACTAAAAAGGCTTCCAAAGATAACCATTCCCACACAAGATCATCAAAACTGTTTAATTTAACGCTGATTAAATAACCGAACAGTTCACTTTTACAGGAAGTAAACAATAATAATAATAATGTTGTCAAAAACAAAAACCATAGTTTTGCAGTTGAATCCATCACCCAATGAGCTCAAAAAATACAACATGACCAGAAAACCTAAGACTTTAATCTGATATTCTTTTATGATGTACGTATAATGGACGGGCTACTCTGATATTAATAATCACAAATTTGTAGTAGATCACAGAAACTTAATAGAATTGAGAATACAAAACAATGAATGAGTACACCTGCAACATTGTGGACGGTTCTGAGCTATGTCAGCCAGAACTTCTAACTATTAATCTCGATAATCGTGTGGATCTTAACCAGGTAATCCGTAGTTACCGACATGACCCGAACCAACGATTACTGACTTCACGGACTGATGCTACATTCTGGTTTGACTGCCCCTAGTTTCCTTCCAACCACTAAGTAATATATTCACATTATCATCTCTTTCTGTCTCACTTTTGTTTTCACTAGGTATTTGTTGCTTGCGGTTTCTGTGGTTGGCGTTTAGAACCTCAAAGTAACAAATTGAACGTGTTCAATATTAGTGGTGCTGGCAGTGGTGGTAGTAATACTAGTAATACCATGAACAGTTCATCCATTATTGATACACCATGTTCACCAACGCCGACGACAACAACATCAACAAATTTACAAATGCATGGAGGTGGTGGTAAATTGACAATCTGTCAACATTGTCGTAAACCATTACCTAGATGTTCAATATGTTTGATGCATTTAGGCACATCGATTCCATTAAATGAATACATGTCTGTTACCAATGCTATAAAATCGGCTGAATCAATGTTTCAACAAACAGGATTGACATCAACTGGTAAATTATCTGTTGATTTCATGAATGCTATGCAAATCAATACCACGAGTTCGTCCATATCCCTGTCAGAGAACAATGCTATAAATAAAAATAACCAAAAAAATCTATATTCGTAAGTAAACGTCTTTCTTTTTTTTCTCAAGTTCAATTTTCCATCTTAATTTATGAGTTTTTGTCTTATGATATGTACGTTGTCAAATGTTAATGATTTGAATTTTAACTGAAAAAGAATAGTACTAAATCTTGGTCATCCTACTTCTTATAACTCAGCTTACATGAGGGAATTCCACTTAAAAGGATTAGTAAAGAATAGTCATGTTTTCAATGAGCAAATATTCAGTATATACTACTTTCTTGACTTTAATTTTGTCTAATACTAAAGTGAACGAGAACACAATTGGGACCACCGCATGTATTTAAATACACAATTACAGAACATCTTAGTAAAATCTGAGAACCATACAATGAATACTTCATTTGCAAAATGTCACCCAATCGTCTTAGACTACACTGTTTTTTCTGTCCCACAGCAATCGTTCTTCGTTCTTCTGCCTCCAGGCATTGTACTTTCGACTGATGATACATACTACTTATATCTGTCGACATCAGTAGCACACACCACAATACTGTTGACTAGGTCCTCAGTTGACTTCCTCCAACAATGCCCCGTTTGCGGTTTCCCACCTTCTGTTTGAAATTGAGATGGTTTGTGAGTTCTCTCGTTCCTAAAATGTACCTCATTGTGTCTAGACTCGTCCAGTTTAGGTAGAAGAGATTATTACGACAGTATTCTTTGCTCTGAGGTTGTTTTCATAAATTACTAAACTTCTCATCCCATCATTTAAGTAACATTTTATTTTACTCTTTCATATTTTACATTATTGTTACTGTTTAAATTGTACGCTTTTTGAAAAAAATTAGATCACCTGAAAAATCTTCATCAATCCCAAATTCCATACCGATAGCTGATTGGTTTGTTTGGTGTCAAGCTTGTAGACATGGTGGTCATGCTAGTCATTTGACAGATTGGTTTTATGGAGATTCGTTTGATTTAGGAGATAATGGTTATTCGAAAGAATGTCCGGTCAGTGGATGTCAATGTCATTGCGCTGCACTGGATGTTAACCAAACACTTTCTCGATTAAATTATTCTCGTTCATCTATAAATAGCCGTAGTCCAGATTCAGAAGAATCTAGTTCACTTGTTGATAACGAACCAATTGGATAATAAGTTGAATTTTAATACAGAACGTAATCTCTGATTGTTTCAGTATTTTATAACTTGTGGAACTGTTCATAATTACTACCTTGATTATTCACATTTTCTTATATTCTTTATTATTTACAATGTACATAATGAATTTTCAATTATTTTGAATCTGATTATTTTAAGGAGTTCTTTTTTTGAATATACCTCTATTTTTCTAACCAACATTTGAATCGTTAATACAATTATTTCTTACCTAGTTGTTTGTATGATGTTTAAAGATAATTTCCCGCTTTTCTCAGCTTTGTATTAATCACAACGTGTTAAAATAGGTCTTGATACATACTTTAGTTTTTTGACGTCTCCCAGAATGTTTCGTGATATGATACTACAATTCACTATGTTTATCTCGTGGTGCCACCTATAAATTGATCTATTTCGTTCTGTGGATTCTGCAATACTAACATATGTTAGAGGATTAGAAAGTCAACTAATGTCAGCTGTGTTTTGTGTGTTATTTTCCATTTAGACCATAATACGTGGAAATGAGTATCTACTTCAATTACGAAGTACTAATAAAGTAATAACTTTCCCGGTCTTCAGAAGTAACTACTGTGTAACAATGGATATAGGATGGTGGGAAGCATTTAATCCCTACGACTTGTAATCCTTCATCTGCTGGACTAAATTATGTACATTTAAACTTGGTACTAAAGTAGTCTCTTTGGATTCTGAAGAAGATTAGGTGTCACTGTATTTTATTTGATTTCACAGTCGTCCAGTGGTATTTTTAACTGTTGCGAAAACATTTTGTAGTACAGGAAACCTTTGCTATAGCAAAGCATCAAAATAAGTAAATCGCACAGAGTGGTAGGATAGTATGGTGAAGACATACAAGTGTAATATGCATGTAAATGTGTCGAAGATGAACGTGAAAATATGAATTGCTCAATCGGCAAGAAAAATTTTATTCAGATAGGTAGTTTCGCCGTAATTTTTAAAGGAAACAGGTGAACCGTATCGTAGACTAGTAACTTCTCTCTGTTCTGAACCATATCTTATTATCTCAGGCAACGAATCTACGTGTTCCTAGAGAGCTTTGTGGAAAAGTTATAGCTTTTGCCCCCATCAATTGACGCGTGGCCAAGTCGCCAATCAGAATTCCAACTTCTATGACCTTGTTCTTGTGCTAAACCAATGATACATCAGACAGCTCGGGCAGTCTTGCGTTAACTGTGGATCCTTATTGGTCCTCCGTTAGCCCTGCCCGTTCAGCTCAGAACACAATATCCGCCTCAACTTCAAACATACGTAGTTTATATACAAGTAAACCAAGCCGCATCAGACCATAAAATACACAGCAATTATAAAATATCAAGTTGCTCATACTACATAAAATCAACGGATTGGCAACCTTAATCCCGATGTTCTTAGTGACACCACCAACAGATCAATTTCGTGGAAGTCCAAAAGTCATAAAATATGGGGTCCCTGAGAATGGATGTACTGCTGTGAAAAACTGTGTCGTCAAGCCAACTGCGCATACACAGCACAACAGCTCGTTACACACTGGTATTCCAGTAAACGCAGCAGTCAGAGACATTTTACAACAATAAACAAACAAAACCAAGCTGCTTTTGACATTGCTGTTGTTGTCGACGAGTCGAAGACCAAGTATTTGACAGAAGGGAATCCGGAAAGGGAACTACACTATGTAACACACTGGCAGGGGTCGTCCAACTATGTTAAAACATTGCCGTTGAAAGGTTTTCGGTATGTTGCGGAAATGTCTTTATCTAGTTATTCGAGCTACCGTTAAGTTCATAGTATAAACGTTTTACTATCTGAGTTTAAACAAAGATGTGATGGAGCTAGGGCATTAGCTGCCGAAAATCTTAGGTGACTGAAGATAGGCAATGCCTTTAAGTTCTTTCGATAGTCCAGACACTTGCTTCGAACACGTTCACTATCATTTAGCAGGGCTCTTGTCAGGACAAAACGGACGTCCTTATCGCCTTACATATATGGACCGTCTCACACGTTGGCCAGGATCAAAGCGTGATAAAAGCATTATGGCCGAAAAGTCAGCTCATACGTTCGTTTGAAGTCCACTTCCGACATTAATGAAAAAATGTTAAGTGTTCTAACACTAAATTCTTTGGTATTTACCACTCATTAAAATGATTCTGAATGCTTTATTGAGGCCAACCTTGTTGATACATATATTGACATCACATAGCCCTACTCTTTAGTCATAGAATATGATACCGCTTATCCTTGAGGATGAAACAGTCCTTCGTTGTTCTATTAAACTAAAATCTGATGGTCATCGAGTTTAGATCAGCACAGTTTGGTTGCTATCATCCATTTCAGACATCATAACTGTACCACTGGTAAGTCTGTTCAAAATAATATTCCCTAACTCATATCTCAAATGATTGGAAGTGTGCTCTTGTCAGTCGGTTGCTTATGAATGGAAACAGAAGTTTGTATCTGACTGCCAACCTAAAAGTTTCAACTAGCATGGTAGCTAAAATATCAGTTTAAATAGTTTGTTATAATTTTTTTGGTCATGCACGATAAACACTTCTGTTAACTTCAGATCAACACAGCTTTTGTGAGAGTAGCCCTTTTTCATTAACTTGCTCACTTCCGGAGAGAACAGAATGACAGCCTAAGATAGTGGTGTGCCCGTCGAATTACCATTAAAAGATTTCAGTCAAGGATCAATGAATAAGATTCATTTAACTTTTGTACCGACACCTGATATTACTGGTCACAAAGAAGACTGGGTAAGATACTTTGTTTGCCATTATAGGAGGAGCATAAGAGTACATCGAACACTATCAGGATGGAAACTTTTTAAATAATGGTGTACTTCATATACTTCCTCACATTTTCCACTACTTTACCCTCTTAATAACTTATCAAAACTGCCTAATTCACAAGTATTCTTATACGTGAACGATCCTCAATTAATGAAACTGATTAACGGATTATTTAGTCTCAACCAAAGTTAAACTTCAGAGATCGGTTCCAGATAAAAGTCCTAAGAGACCCGTCAGGTCTTTGTAGTTCGACAAAACCTTCACAGTCAAAGTATACCATTTCAGCCAAACCAGAAGTCGGAAATGGAGGGATCTAAAGATATATTTGGAAAGCTGTCCACATATCAAGAAACGTTTGGTTTAAACTGGCTAGCGGTTTGCAAGCGATGCTTTGCAAGGTGCACCCACTCATGATCTAGTGTGGATGCGTGACCGAACCACTTCAGCAAAGTTTGTCCGGTAAAACTGACGAGGTCAGCATCAATGTCTAGGACTTACAGGACTACAGCCCACTCCTCCCCAGTGGGGTAGTGATTAGCCTGGTACTTGGCCGATCAGAAGCTTAAACCCAATGAGTTTACTGTTGGCAAACACCCTTCTGATGGCTCGCCATTTTCAATAGTATCTGGTCATCTTCCCCTAATACAAGGGGCTTTGTAACATAATAAAACAATGAAAAAAACGTACAGTGAATATTTCAGTTCATTGTAATCTCAGTTGGTTTTTTAACCTTTATCAGCCGTCGGAGAGAAAAAGAAAAGGAACTTGTAGGTGCATGTCGAAATACACTTGTACGCGCGTAAAAACACAAAAAGTGCGAAAACAGAATCGTAAACTGGTATATATGTGTATTCTTAATATAATAGTAATTTTTGCGAGGAGAACTTTCCTGGACATATAAGGACAAAAATAAACACACATATGAGTATATTAGAAAACATCGATGAAATAGTACATAGGTTCACGTAGAAGGACTTCGGGGGGTCCTCGTACGTCATTTCGACAGCTCGTCGTAATGAATCGTGACGTACGAAAATGAGCGCACAATAACGTAGGGCAAGTTGAACGAAAATACAAATCGGCTGCAGTCGAGTAAATCAGGTTTAATTGAACACGTGGCGTTTGTAAGCCTTCTCGTGCAAGTATTTAGATTCACATTCACTTAAGATGAAGGACTCACAAATCCTCCTGAAAGTCCATGTTCTTCCATAAACGAGTTGTGCTGCACAGTATCCAACGTCAATTTTCACTGAATCACGAATACCAAGCGACACGAATGGAAGTCAGCCCACTGTAAAAAAGTTTTCAGCTGAGAGTGAGGTTTTCAATAATCAACGAAATCGCCCTTTCAACCCGTTAGCCTGTGGGCAGCAGGCGGCGTTCGGAATTATGTAAATCGTAACAGTGTGGTAAAACAATAGAAAAGTCCAAATTCGATCTGGAGTCTACGATTCGTAGTAATAGTTGAAGAATAGCCTTGGTTTATTTACATGGTTCGACGAAGGCAAGGGCCATCGTTTCAGTAGTAATTTCCCTGAAGAGTACTGCTCTGGCCATCGTGTAAAGCAGTCCAAACAGGCCACGACGTAACAGTGTTCATTTAAGTCCAGTAAGGGTCCTACCAAATCTTGAAGAACATGTCAAAACGAGAGTCGGACGTTTTGAATGACCCAAAGGGACATTTGTGTCTTACCACTTGGACTTCTGGCAGCTTGCACGGAAGCATGCCCACTCCCTCACATCTTTATTCATACCAAGCCAGATAAATAGCTCTGCGATGAGCTTGATAGTGACACGAACACCTGGATGAGAAAGCTTGTCCAGCGTATTGGAGACTTTGCGTCGATGACGTTTTCGTCACGACTGCACGAACCGTACCTGTAGATGTGTCACGAAGTAAAGTTTATTATTTCTTCCCACTTGTTTAATACTTAGGTCCAGAGTTGTCGAAGATAACTCGTGCTAAAGATCGGTGTCTTTTTGAAACTGGGCGAGTTTGAGAAGGTTGATTCCTTGGAACCTGTTCAAAGAAGGCATACGAGCCATTGAGTCTGTCACTACATTGCTTGCCCAGAAATGCGTTGTATATCCGAGATTGACTGAGAAATATAGTGCGAAACCCTAGAGAGTAGTATTTTTCTGGAGACTAACTTAGAGATGTGAGAGGTCTGTGATCGTTGAACAGAGCGAATTCTCGGCTCTTTATAGAGTTATGAAGGTACCATACAGCACAATGCATCTCTAGGAGTTCCTTGCTAAAAGTGCGTTACATCGTTTCAGTGTCTAGCGACGGTCTCAAGAAGACTGCTAAAGGTTTCCATCTGTTGCTTAAGCATTGTTGCAAGACTTTCCCAGTTGCAAAGTCCTATGTGTCTACTGCCATGCTAATGGGTGATCTAATGTCCTGCTATGCGAGAATAGTTGTTTTGACGATAATTTCCTTGACTGTGAAAAATGCTTCTTTTCAATTGTTGTCTGAATTAATGAGTTTCACATTTCTACAAAGTCGGTTAATTAGAAGTCTCTTGAGAGACGTGAAGTTCGGTATGAGCCGTCGGTAGAAACCTGCTAGGACGTTGGACGCACATAACTACTTGACTGTGGTCGGTTCTGGGTAATCCATAATGGCCGCCACTGTACTTTTTAGAGGGCAGATAGCCTTACCAGAAAAAATTTAGGGAGTCAGTTACGGTTAAGCATTTTTGAATGTTTAAAGTAATGTGTTTTTGTAGTCGTCCAAAAACGAGGTCCAGTTACTGGAGATGAGATTCACTGGTTGTACTTGTGATCAAGGTTCATCAACATACACGTGTAAAAGTTCAAACCTCGAAAGACGTCGTCGATGAACCTCTGGAAAGTCTGTTCAGTATTCCTAATGCGTAAATATTCGTAGAGCCCAAAAAGGGGTCAAGATAGCAGTTTTAGAAGTGTCGTCAGCGGCCATGAGAATTTGATTATCTGCTATAACCAAATCGATTTTCAAAATGACAGTTTTGCTCTTTTAAGGAAGCTGTCAACTCGTGAATATAAGGCAACGGGTAACGACTTGGAGTGGTTTTCGTATTCAGTCGCCGATAGCCACAAGTTGCTCTCCAGTTATCGTTGTGCATTTTATGGACCGCGTGCATGCAAGACGCCAATGGGCTGTCCGACGATCAAAAGAGCCTTAAAACTGTCGTTTGATTGAATCTATTATTAGACAAACTTAGCTTTTCAGGAGTTAGTTGATGCGCTTTCAAAAGTACATATGATCTTGTAGTTTTGATGTGATGCGTAATATTCACGGATATATACGACCGTGTTTGGTGTAGTTGAAGGTACTTGTAGAACTTCCGTTTATAGAATGGATCTTTGACCGGGGATAACCTACGGCCAAATAAAAAGTTACACAAACAGATAAATTATTATTTCCGTCTACTAACCATCCTTCGCGCGTGTCAATAAGTTGACTATGGTGTTGTAGCGGGCCTATACTAATGACTGGCATAGAAACATCTGCGACAAAGAGTACCCAGTTGATGGTTTTTGGTAAACTCACGTTAAAATAAACATATCTTTTACTATATGTAGCAATCGGTATCCCGTTTGCCGCCTGTAAGTTGGAGACTGCTTCTGGAGGAACGTTATCTTCTGCTCCAGTATCGGTAAGATCGAAAAATTCAATGATCACATCAGTGGTGTATAAATGACGGCTACGCCGTTGCTTTTAACGCGTGTTAGACGAGAAGCTTCCTGATGAGTTTTTTGTATAAGACGGTTTGGAGGTTGGGAAACCGAAGAGTCTTCCACAATTTCTGGATGACTTTCCATACTTATCGCGGTACCAGAACCAATGGGGAATACCTGATTCTTGTGGTCTAGAGAGGGATATTTTTCGTGACGGGCTTCTTCGTGTTTGGGAATGTCTTCGATGATGATGGATATTAAGATAGAATCAGAGTGTGTCAGAGGTCTGTGACGTATTATTGATTTGTCCGATGCTTCTCTTTGACGCAATATGCTTCGGTTCAGGGTGTTATGGTGATCGTCACAATCCGGTAGGCGGATATAACCATCTGGTCTGCGGTGTTATTTTGAAATGAGACAAAGCTCCTGAGAATTTCAAACAAGAACAGCTGACCTCTCGCATACGTAGCAACGGCTTTGTTGCAGAGACATTTTGAAGCTCAAATTTATGGAAAAGTTGACCTCATTCAAGGTGTCATGAGTTTTAGAAGCATCACTAGAAGACATACTTTCTGTGACATATAGTGGTATCGGTTTCTAGCCACACGATTCTCGAAGCAAAGCATTTAATCACTCGGAAGATTGACACTCAACAGGTAACACTTGGAGGAGGTTGGCAATGATGACTGGCAGAAGATTCTATCAAGATGGCATGGCTCGTCTATGCAGACGTGGGTGCTCTATGAAAAACCTACTGAAGCTTGTACTAAATATATTACTCTCTACCCAGCCTTACTGCGTTCATCGGTGATATTAGACGTTATGTAGCTGATCTTATGATACGACGAGTTAGAATAGACAAAGCTGTGACTTTCACGTAAGATCTTATGGATTAAGTTTTCGGATCATGAAAAATTTACAATTTTGGGATAACGAACCATAACATAACTCCAGAGATTACCTGTTAGAATGGTGCAGCAGTGCCTTCACGTCTGCGAGGAAATGTGCACGTTAGTCTGTCGCCTCATGCTCGTGGAAATCAGCGTCCGCGCAGCAGAACCAGGCTTTCTGTGTCCACAAACACGTTTATTAAACTATTCACTTATTTTACGTTTCCTTGATTTCTGTTTCCTTATTTTCTCCATTTCCCTCTTCAAAGTCAACCAAATATTCTCAATTACACAGAACTTGTTTTTTTTCAGAACTTGCAAATATTATGCTAATTTTATTGAAACTTGTGTATCACTGCGCTTCTGAAGAAACCCGAAATGGTTTCTCCACAACACTTATGTGCCCATAAACTGTTTGTGAATAATAGTAATCACGTCTGGTTTACTATCAAGATGCCACAGATGTTCGGAGTTTGATAGCATTTTTACACTTAACGTCCGTATAATCGTATTATACCACACAGTCAAGTCATAAGTGAGGAACTGAAGGTTCGGAGATATATTTGAAGAGTTATTGATTCATTCGAAAGCGTCTAGGCTAAGCTGGCTAACGACTGCAAGGGCCACTTAGAACGGCGTACTCTCTGGTGATCTGGTGTAGGTGCGTGACCGAGCGCCTTCAGATAACTGTATCTAGTAAAACTAGTGAGGTCAGCATCAACATTGACGATTTACAGGAATACTTATTCAGGTGATTTATATACCGCCATATGCACCGCATCAGTACTTTATTAAGTGAACACTACGTGCTAAATCTTACGAATAAAAAGCAGAAGACCAATCGCGACCCCTGAATTCTATTTCCTTGCACAGGTTTTGGATTCTGCTCACTGTGCCGTGTGCTCACGATCTCTGAAGATATTTCACATTTAAAATACTGTCTATAAGAGAGGTCAACCGACATACAACATGGAGCAACTAACTCATCGTCTGTCATGGACGTTGGTGAGGTCGACAATCGCCGGAAAGTCGGAAAACAGTATGTGATAATTTTTTCTAACTCATGAGGTTGTCTGGATCATCATACTCGAACAAACGGTACAAATCCTGCGGATGAATACATTTCCCTTGAGACTCAGTCCTTATGTGAACGCTTACTCCTAGGATTGGCAGCAATCATTTATATTTCTTTCTTATGATTCTGAAGCTATTCACAAATTCCAATAAACAAAGCTTACTAAGACCAATTTTTGGAAGCCCACGTCCGTCAAGGCTATGTGACGGGTGCTCGTTTCAACTTCAGCTTAAGTTCGTCCCGGATTCCTGCTAAATTAATAGATTGGAACTACCATCATAATTTTGCATCGAGCTGCTAAACATCTTAGAAATATCCTTCTAAAAATGTAAGCTTGTATGGCTCCTAATTTTTTATCTGATGATTATTTATTACAATAAAATGTCTATAGAATTTTCTTCTAGTTTAGTCATAGTTGGTTATGATTTCTATTAGGAATAATTTTCATGTCTACGAACTTTGATGGACTTCATCCGCAGTTCGTGATACTGTCTCTATGCCTGAATGTATTGTTTAGCACATGGCCACAGTATCCCAATTTGTCGGCCGACTTTGGGAAAGCCACAATCGACAATTTTGGGGAAATGGTACGAAAACAACAAGTTTCCCCCAATTCTGAGGAACTTTCTCTTGATATTAATAAGTTTTAAATTTAACTATTTTAATACCCAATAATATAAACTTGTGCTTCTACATGGCGAGCAGGCTTACTTGTCTGTGATGAGGGGTTTGGTAGCTGAACTAGTCCATAATACTCATGATGTAGACAGTTGACGTAGATGTAGTGAGACAACATACTCTAGGTAATCAACTGGGAGGATATACTTAATATTCTGCTCGTGGTGTGCGGTAATGGCTCCAGAGAAAGTTTTCCCGATGCAAAGTCGACCACTACTGGTGTAATTTCCACCAAAGAACTGTCTTTCTGGGTGTTTCAAACCAAATCATAGTTCTAAAACTAGTCTGGAAACTTGAGAGTTGTTGGAATTCCACGAAACGTCAGTCTAATGCATTGAATTCAGTGTGATTTCATGGAACCCTACTATAATTACGTACCCAACAGACTTGATTTTATGAGGGATTCAATTGACTTCCCCACTTATTCTCCAGAAGTATTCTTGTTTTCTGTCATATTAATTATGAATACTAGTCATTTAATCTCGTTTCGACCTCATGTTATGCACTAAATGCATCTCTAGCAGTCGTAGAGTTTATTAGGGAGCTTCCAAATTATATCCATCCAACTAATGGTAAATAAACTAAATTATACCATTCTATAATCATAACAGGCAATCGCGCCCAACAAATGTGGGGCCCAGACTTAGCAGTTGCTACTTTCATCACCTGGACAACAGAATCATATCATTATAAGTGACTGTCAAATCGAACTATTATTCAATCCCGGCCACATTATTGTCTGGCTTACTTTTCACTAAGCGTACTAAACATGATTAGTTTTTATAACATGATAAAGAATATAGACACAGTCAAGAATAATATATAAAAGGTCTGAACTGAAAAGTGGATCGTTATCAAATTGGTGTAAGTAATGTTCCTTAGTGAGCGTGATATAAATTAAGAAAAAAATATCTAAATATTTGGTTAACCATTCCCGTCGTTTTATTTTCAGAGATGGAATACTTTCTTAAACGGATCCCTGCCTTCAGTCGTGCATTAGGTGATATTGACTCTGACAGTGATGACGACGACTCAATCGTTGACCAGAATGGTCTCGATGTCACTGATAATTCCCTGCTATTCACAAATGAGCAAGATGAAGAAATAAACACCTATCAAACATTTCGAGATTATGCAACAATATCACATGTAATTCTAGCTATTGGACCATTAACAAGTGCATTCGTAACCATTGGCACTGGTATAACCCATAAAAGTTTATCTATTATTAAAGTATCATATAAGAAGACTTCTTTAGTATTCAACAGTTACTATCTTCCAGATTATGACAACACATTAATTATTTGTATTGAACATGAACCTAAATATTTGTGCTATCAACACAAGTATATCCTTTGTAGATACCTTCAACGTGTTTTTTGTCATAATGAGGATTTTGATAAGGATAAAATTACTATTAAAGATATTAATGTACTATGTAGTCGTCCAGTTACTCAGTATTCTAAATTGAAAACACCTCCCCCGTTTATTAAATGTATACCAACTTATTCCGGATTAAGTAGTCGATTTCCAAAGCTGGAAGAACCGACAATTTTGACAGGTTTACCAGCTGAAGCGCTGAATTGGTTCTATTTTAAGTCATTACCAGTCAATGTATATATTGTATTTTATTTACCACACGTTAGTGTCTGTGAATGGTCTGCAGTAAAAGAGATATTCAACAGTCTATTACCAGTTGGTATTGAAATTATGCAAAAGCAGTTTTCATCCAACAATCAGTGGGACAGTAATTTATTAAGTGAAAAACTCAAGGAAATGTGTATTACTGCAGTTTGCAATAGTGAACGTGCAAAGACAGACCAAATGTATACTTGAGCTGCAATCAAACTAACTTTTTTGTGTTTTTTTTTAAACATGATATTTTATATTGTATTAAGTACTTTATATTAATTGGCAATAAAAAGAGAAGCAACTGAACACAGTGTGGTTTTGATTTCCTGGTCGTTACCTAAAATTATTTATTTCAGTCAAAATTGTCAGTATAAATGAGGACGTGTAGGAATGCCTATCCTAGTGTGAGACATCGATTTTGTGAATTTACAAGGAAAACGTGAAATGTAAACAAAAATGTTAGTACTACTATGTTTAACTTGACGAAGAATGCAACCAATATAGAGTTAATTCTTCTCAAAAGTTTATTTCACTCTTTATGAACAGCATAACAACATTACAGTAGGATCTCTATTCGTTTTTATTCCAACCTTATATGAAAATTTGAACGGTAGTCCTGGTTGTCTTTAAACGCTTTAGGTGGGTTATTGGATTTCTACATTCTGGCTTATGTTTTTTAAATAACTTTTAAGATTCTAGTAATGTAACTCAAGATAGTCCTGAACCTCACTCTTGTTTAGCAAGAGCCTTATTAATTTCGGGATATTTAAGGTTGTTGTTGTACGAAACATGTTACGATGTTCAGGTACCTAGCTAATGGTGAAAGTGTGGTAGATGCATGACCTGAACGAGGCTTAACTTGCTCCTTCTATGCGTTCCACCTATTATGTATAGTTTGGCAACAACCAAAACTTGTAACCTAATTGTTCTGACGTTTCTCAGAGATATGAATGGTAAAAACTTTATACTTAATTTCCAAAGCACTTAGTTTTCCATTCATGTATGAGGAATTCACAGAATCTCTTGACCAATATGTTCCATCTCTGAAATGATTGTTGCTTCAGGTGGAGTGTCTCTAAGTATTTGAGATTCACTCGTTAGTTGAAATGCGGAGTGAAAAACGGTTTCTATAAAGTTGTTGGAACAGTAAACTTAGCTGCTTTTCGGAATATTCTACCCAGATACTTAGTTACCTTGCAGAATTGGATAAGCTGAAATGGATTCTAGTAATTTCTAAATGCAGTTACTGCCTCCAATCTACAGTACATTGATCATCTCATGTGAGGTATTCACCGGTTTTCCGTTAAACAGAATCACACGTATTTTTGTACTCCATAGTCTCTTGTAATAAGCTGGATCATTGCTAATAACTAAGAAGCTTCCAGAGATCCGTTGATAATCAAACGTAAGTCTTGCTAAACGTGAAACAATTTTACTTTCATTTTCATTGCGCGTTGTTAGTGGAATTAATGTTTATCTGTCCTCATTGGGGTTAAATCTAGTCTTGAAGTTATTACTATATCAAATCGGCTGAGAGCTTCTGGAAGTAACCAGCGATATCGGACTTTATAAGCAGGTCCATATTTGTAACAAACACGAGTTTCTGAGTGAGGTCTAAATTAAGCTCACGCCTTTCACTTATTATGTATAGGTTTATATTCTTGTCTTTAAGCCACATATTTTTTATGAAGGCCATTGCTGCTAAATAGTTGCCGGAATCGAAGATGGGGTAGTGTTCGTCCTTTTATTCCAGTAGTTGTAAGACATACTGTAGCTAGCAAAGCGCTTATGTGTGCAAAGCAGGGCACAAACAGGATTATACAGAGTGAGCTTGTTTATAACATGGTAGTAGAAGGATGTAAATGAGAGTGATTAATCAGATTCTCGACTCAGTATTTTCATGGTCTGTGTATAAGCTGTGATATTCGTAGCCCCAGTTGTTGTTAAATGAACACTTGAGCGTCTAATATACAAGATAATGAAGCGAAGTCAGACGTATTACTAATCAGCAGTTAGTAATAACCTTTCTATTCACCTCCTAGAGTGTATACGTACTACTAATTTGAAGAAAAACTCATTGATTGACGGATTTCTTTATGAGGTGAGATTCCGATTTCCCACAAAAGACCATGATAGCACATCTGCTTTAACAGCTGTGGAAAAGCACGTAGCACAATTATGAATTATTTGCAAACAATACAAAATATCAGTAGCACTGAGTTGACACTATGATGCATATGTAGGCTGTATTGGCTTAACTGTAAACCTAGTGTTATAATGTGAAAAATAATGCTGCAGCGGATTAAGGGTAGGGAATTGTTGATCGGACCAAAGACGCACAAACACGTAGAACAGCCTAGGGTTCTGATTGGTCTCGCTTCCCTGTCTAGCCCAGCCAATTGAGTCCAGAACACAAGTCACAGCCTCGGAGATATGAATCACTATATTTCAAACATACTTTGTTTATATACGAGTCAAGCATACCACATCGTACCATAAAATAGGAAACAACATTTACAAAATATTTAACAAGCGAAATAAACATCGACCAATAGGAAATGTACATTTAAGGTCCAAGGACACCATAGACTTAACACGATAATTATTGGTATATTTTTCCTACTATCCTAACACCTAGGTAGTCTGAATTGAGTTGGACAGAAATACAGTGATATCTAGTTTAACTTGGACTAGAAGAGCTTCAGTAATTCTCCGTCATTTAGTACTAATCCATGAATTTTTTGGTCTGAGTTTCCTAGCGAGCCTTATAGATGAGGTTTAAAGAATGTTAATAATTGACGATGTTAAGTAATGACTAAAAACCGATTAATCCAAATGTTAAACATTTTATCACATTACTTGGGTGTGACTTGTACTGGCTCAATGATCAAGATACTGAAGTCTCTGGATTTGAGTCCCGCGTGCAGGATAGTAGATGCGACTCCAGTACCGGGACGAATTGGCCGGTCAGTGCTTCAGATTTTCGATGTTGGCTTAACATTGATTAGCTTATGATCTTAATGAAACTCAACAATCTCCACTACCCAATACTGACATACAACTGTTAATGAACCAGTCCCTAAAACTTTTGGATCACACCTTATTTATAACCTTATATTTCAGATGAAACTTGAATTTACTTGTTGAATTGATCAATGGGATCTAAAGTTATCACAAAACTGGGGAGATTCGCGTCTGAATATACTGATACGTTTTTCAATACCGATCCAATAAGCTCTATTGTTGTATTCACGAAATTACACAAAAAACTGTGTATAGCGGGAGCTTCTCTTCCCATTGCCTCACTTTAAGCCTAGTCTTCAGATTCAGAAGAGTTTAATCCCTTATTTTATTCCGATCCTGATACTCACCTTATTTTGCAAATTTTTTCCGATCTTGTCCATCTATTCTATAAGTGATTTACATCCTTACATCATCCGTTGGATATTACGTAAAGATGTTTAACATTTTAAAAAACTTTCATTATCTTTTATCATGTTACAACAATTTTCTATTTTTATTATAGAATTCAATATGTGGAAAATAACTATATAACAATAATTTGTACGAATTTGATAATAAATAACATCGTTAAAAAGAGAGTTTTTTTTCTCTCTGAACTGTATTTTATTTAATGACGTAATAATCAGTCACTTCCGTAAAGTGATTAGAAAGAAAAGCGAGTCTAGTGAAACATCACACTACTACTTACTTCTATGATAATAGTAACACAAAGAAGAAAAGAGAAAAAAAAACCCAAAATCACATGTATATTTACTAGATTATTAATCATTATCATCATATGTGAAATATTGAATAAAAACTGTACAATAAAATTAACTGAAATTCGATGCATCTGAATAATAATTGCATAATAATAATAATAATTATTATTATTATTATTATTATTGTTATTATTATTATTATTATTATTATTATTATTATTATTATTATTATACTCATGAATCCAGGTTTATCAATGCAGACAAAAGAGGGGAAAACTTGTTGTTAACAATAAGCATGAATCGGTCATGGTGAGTAGTAATTGATCAAGTTTATTATTGAAGAAGAAGAAGAAAAAAAACACATTTTACAATGATGAATAAACATTAACAACAAATATCACATCAACACAATACGGTAGACATTGACAAGACAAATAAATGGTAATTAATTACATAAGATTATGAATAATGATGACAATGTTAATGCTGTACTACTCATGAGTAGATAGAACAAAGTGATATATATATATATATATATATATATATATATATATATATATATATATATATATATATTGATTGCATATATTATACAAAGATTTATATGAGCAAAAAGAAAATCTTCATTCTTTGCTTCGAATTGAATAAAAAATTTAAATGATAAATAAGCCACAACAAAAATGCATGAGTTATTGTAAAATTATATGAGAACAAAATTAAATGGTTTGTATAGACGAAGAATGAGAAGTGGTAATAGCAGGAAAAGTGTGTGTGTGTGTGGTAGTAGTAGTAGTTTGATTAAATTTTTGTAAAAGGTATTGGGCGCATCATTTTTACTTATATTTTGTAAAATATTAAAGAATAGAAGCCTAAATAGTTGGACATGTCTGGGGTAGAAGATGATTAAGAATGTATAGTAATATCAGTGTATAAATATGGTTGAATATAAAGTATACAAATCTTGTTCATTGTGTACTTCTTTTTGTTTGATCACAGTATAAGAAGTAATGATTCAATTCAAATTGTAGAACATGAATAATGGTTATAGGATCTGTACAGTTTCGTCAAGAAACAAATAACAACCGAAAAACATTTAAGATAAGAGAGTTTTTTTACCCATAACAGTATCAATATTACTTATGATAATTATACGATTATATATATATATATATATATATATATATATATATATATATATATATATCCATTGGTAAGCTTGTTTGGCTTATATGAAACAATTTGCATTACCTACAATTTAAATCATAATTAGAAAAGTTTTCTTTTATTGAATAGTTTTTTGTATACGTTCAATCCATTGCATAGCACTTTCTTGATTGATAGCACCGAGTTTGTATGTTCGATTATTGGTCTCAAGCTATGGAAAAAGAATGCATGGATTGAATGTATTATTATTATTATTATTCTTTGTATTTATGCTGTATTATTACTGAGCAACTACATTAATATTTATGTATAAAT